TATTTTATAAAGAGAAAATTTTAAAAATCTGAAATTCAAGTACTAGATATATTAATATGGGTAGAAGGAAAGAAATGCAAACATTTATTTTACTGTAAATGCATTAGATATAGATTATCCTTAGCTCTTGAGGTTGACAATCTTATGTGAGGAAAAGCAAGGAGACTTTAATTACTTCATATTAGATACATTGTAAGAATATTTAAAGTGCTAAAAGAAAAACAAAAACCTTGTCAAATAAAAGTTCTACAACCAGCAAAACTATACTTAATATTTTTTAAGTAGAGTTTCCTTATAAAAAATGCTAAAGGTAGTCCTTCAAATTGAAGGATAGGGCACCAAACAGTATTTCAAATTTACAGAAAAATATACAAAGCAATGGATATGATATGTCTTTAACACTGTATTTTGTAATGCACAACATATATTTATACATAGGTTTGTATAAATGCATTACATATGACAAGGATAGTGTAATGGAGGGAAAGGAAATGGAGATAAACTGGAACAAAGTTGCTATATTTTGTTAGATTTAAATATTAACCTGAGGTAAATTGTGATAAGGTAAATATGAATATTATAACCACTACACTAAGAAACTAACATTTAAATATCTACCAATGGATGAAAATGTTTTCCTACAAGAATATTGAACATTCTTTTAAGTCAGTAAGGGAAGGAACAAAGTAAGTCAGTAAAGGAGGAACAGAATGGCAGAAAAAGACATAAGACATAGAAAACAAATATCAAACTGGCAGGATTACATTAAATATCAATGACTAACCACTATCCGTAAAGGCAGAGACTATCAAATTGAATAGAAGAGCAAAATATAGCTATATATACTATGTATAAGAAACACTTCAAAGTGAAGAGAGAGATAGGTTTAAAGTAAAAGTATAGAGAAAGATCTACCATGTAAATAGTAAATATAAGAGATTGGAGTAGCTGTTTCAAACATATTTTTCTGTGGTACCTGTCTTTCTGTTGCTTTGACTTCTTAAAAGAGGAAATAGTTCTAAACATAAAGAAATGTCATAATGCAAAAAAAAAAGATATGTCATTATGCTAGAAAAGAAAGAAGGCAAGCAATTACAAACATGCACACACTTACGAACTGAGACACCAAAAATGAAATAAATCCTCAACAGAACAGAGAAAAGAAATAGAGAATTTAACGATTATGATTTGAGATTTAAATATTCCTCTCTTAGTAACTGATGATCAACCAGACCACTTCCCCCCAAAAATATCATGAGTCAAAAGAAGAAACCATAAATGAAAACACAGCAAATCAAAGTTTATGGCATGCAATTAATATAACAGTAGAAGTATTTTGTAACTTTGAATGCTTACTTCAGAAGGAAAAAAATTCTAAAATCACTAACCTAGGAGAAAGATGATAAAATCAAACCCAAGTTAGAAAGAAACACTAACTTAAAATGGATCTATGAGATAGCTAAAACTATAATTTTTCTCCAAGAAAATAGTGAAGAGAATCACTTTAATCTTGCATTTTGAAAACTTCTATATATGACATACCTAAAGCACAATCCATAAAAAACTAACAAACTGGACCATTATTACAATTAAAAAGGTTTACTTTTCAAAAGACACCAGTAAGAAAATAAAGAGAAATTACAGATTCTGAGAAAATATTTGTGAGTCTATTACTATAACAGCTATATAAAGAACTCTTATAAAGCAGTAGCACGAAGATGTACAACAGTGAGTCAAAAGAATTTAGTTATCATTGAAAAGAGTCAAAACACTTAATAAACATTTCATTAAAATGACACATTAACAGCTAATAAGGAATGAAAATATGGACAATATCATTAGTTACTATGAAATGCTAATTAACATCACAATTAGATACTACTATATGTGCACTAGACCGATCATAATTAATGTTTATACTAAGGTTGGATGAGAATATGGAGAAACTGAAATCTTCATACAGTGCTGATGTGTTTGCAAAATACTATAGTCATGTTGGAAAACTAGCAGTTTCAGGCAAAGCTAAGTACATCTTAGTTAATGAGCCAACAATCCACTGCTAGGTATTTGACCAAAAGGTGTGAAAGAATCCACAAAATATTTGATAAAAAAGTTCATAGGAGTTTTATTTATGATAGACAAGAATTGGAAACAATCCCAATGTCACCAAGTGGTAAATAGATAAACAAAATAAGGTCTATTCACACAATGGAATAGAACTGGTGAATAAGAAGGAAGAAACTAGCAATCTATACTGCAGTATTGATGAGTCTCAAATGCATTGTCTTAGCAAAGGAAGCCAGATACAAAAGACTCCCAGTGTGTTACACATACACATACACACACACACATACATAGAGAGAGATATAGATATATAGATACATCTATACACACACACACACATATATGAGTTAAAGTAGTTAACTTAAGGTACTTTCAATAATGTATTTGGATTAATGATATTTTTTTAAATAATTCTTTGTAATTTATTTGGAAAACACAATATTTTAATGTGAGGGAACGAGATAATTTTTGATAATTTAATTTTTTTTGTAAAAATTCACTAAATTGATAGATGTATAGAATTTTTTCCAAGGCAATTAATAAAATAATCTTTTTTATTAGATTTCATTTTCTTAGTTCTGTGGAATGTTGAAAAGTAATTTAATAATAAAATTACCTTGTTGAAATTTATAATAGAAGTTTATTTATAGAACAGAAGTTTATTATTTCTAAGGATTGTTTCTACTTTGAAATTAAAATTGTGGCAAAAATACTATATTTGCATTACTGGCCATCCATAATTAAAATTTAAAGTCAGGGCCCTCCCTGGTGGCCCAGCAGTTAAAGCACAGCACTAAGAAGTTAAAGCCACTTCAGCATGAGTTCGCTCCCTGCTCTGGAGGTGATCCACATGACGCAACAGACCTCTCCTGACCAGCCTGCTGCTCCCCACAGCAGTGTACTTCGTTGGTTGTCCTGTTCTGCTCCCCACTCTGTCTCTGGTGAATCCTCCCACCGCCCCTGCACATCTGGCCTGTACCCCAGTTCTGTATGCATAAATAAATCTTTAAAAAAATTTAAAGTGAATAAAATCTTGATTGTAAATGGCCAGATACTACCATGTTCCTGTCTACATATGCATTTTAAAAATGAGGATTTGCAGAAACTTTAAGAAGTCTGTTTATGAAAAGTACACATTTAATCAGTAGTAAGTAATTTAGCTGTCAATAAGAAACACTAATGGGAACTCCTGAGAGGTATTAGGAAGATGCTGATTGAAAAGCGCTGAAGCGGAGAAAACATAAAAGGAAAATAAAATAATACATCAGTCTTTGTTTCCATAAGCAGAAGGTGAGGGTGGGAGTCATTAAATCTATACTATCAGTCATATATTTTTCAGTTTAAGAAGAGATCAAATTTAATATGTGATCTGGGGGATGACAATGAGATACAGAAAAAAAGAATACAGAAGGCATCTGTAAAGATTCTGTGCTGGCAGCTGAAGACAAGGAATATTTCAAAGGAGGAATGGTGGCCACCCATGACCCTCTTTCCAGCACACTGTGATTCCCTGGCCTCCACATTAGTCTCTCAAAGCCAATACAACCCACTAATGGCTGCCGTGAATGCCCTCGGAGCAACTGTTCCAATCACCTTGTCAGAATTGCTTTCTTGTCTTCTTATAGTAGTGAATCTTTTCAGCTAATTGTTAGGAGAAAAGCAATTGATCAAAGTAGCTGATAATAACATATAAAAAGAATTAGTATTCCTATGACATATTTCTGTTTTAAATGGAGGGATTAATGCATATAAAATTGTAGGCAATGACTCAATATTATTCTTTTTTCTCCATCCCAATTCTTGGATTATATTTTTCCAAACACATTACCTACCTTAGCTAAACAAACAAACAACCAAAAAAATGCAAAGTCTGTAGCTGATCCCTGTTCTGTACTCCCTGACCAGTCTCTAATGGGAAACTGTGCGGAGGTGGTGAGGCTAAAGACTGTATCTTTCACCAGTCTTCCAGCAGGTTCCACTCAAGGTTTGATAACTGGTGATAAACTACACTCTTGTCCTTCCAAGAAATTCCACTCCAAGGATGGAATTAATGGCAAACTGCCATATGTTTCAGAAGACTTGGGAGGACCTTCCCATAGTCTTCAAAATCATCATGTTACTAATGTCTATCCTCTGTCTACCCTTGAGTTCAGTCCAGTATAATCCCTAGGTCGACAAACCTTACTTAATGCCCACTCTGTAACAGGTTCCTAAGTCCATGTGGCTCTTGGTGAGGTACTAGGGATCAGCAGGTCTACATTGACCATCACGGCCTGGTTAAAGGGACACAGAGATTGTCTGAAGAATAGGTGGTCAAAGTTTAGTTTTCTCTGGAACAGTGTTCTCAGTTTAGGAAAAAAGCTTTTTTCTTTCTAACCTGAAGTTTCAGAGATGAGATCGCCTTTACATAAAAGTAAAACTAGCTTCTCCAGTTGAGGGAACACACCTGCCACTCCACCTGTGCTGTAGATTAATAAATATACAGGCCCATGAAGATAGAAGTCTTCCAAACAAAGCTAGAGTAGCATAGCAAACACGAGTCAATACACTGTGTTTAACTTAATAAGGGTTTTTTTTTTTTTTTAACATTTCAAAATACCGACCCCCTGAGGCAATGACTGTATGGACAATAAATGAAATCTAAATTTAAAGGGCTTGATCTAGTAGCTCAAACCCTTGCCCTTAGCTATTGTCGCTTTTCTTCTGGAAAGAGTTTTGTCTAATAGCCTAATTTCCAAAACAAAAAAGCTTCTAAAAGGAAGTGGTCAAACTCAAAACACAGGCCAGCTACTTTGCTGGAAAAGTCTACCCCGAAGAATGAAAATCTTCTCAAGTATCCACCGATTCTCATCCTCTCCCTCCCTCCTGGGCTCCCTGGGGAGAGGGGAGGGGTTCGTGTGGTTTTATTATAAAAGTACCCCTATTTGCTGATTCCACTCAACCCTCACACCTCTGCAAAGGAGGACCCTGGAGAGGGCGGAGAGGTTTGGCAACCTAAGCGCTCAGCGGGAATTGGTGAGCACAGCACTCGAGGTGCATCACCCTCCCCTGGCAAGCGGTTTGCCCCTGCCTCCTCCCTGAGCTCCTCCAGCTTCCCGAGCTACAAGTAAACTAGACCCGAGAACTTCCCACGGTTTTTCTGGCCTTCCAGGAACTGCCAGGTGAGCGAGGGCTGAGAACTCGAGCGACCCCTTGGCCGCCGCCCACGCCCAAGCCTGGCTCACTCTCTCTCTCCTCCAGGTACCTGCGCACGTGGGCAGCAGCTGCGCCAGGTGGCATCAGGGGTGGGGTCGATGAAGCGCAACGTGAGGAAGATGCTGAGCCCTCGTGAGAAGGAGCCCCAGGGCGTTGTCTATCAGGGTGTGGAGGACGACAGAGAAGACTCCTCGGACGCCTGTAAGGTACGCTGGGCGATCGGCTGCGGGGACCGCCCCGAAGTGTGGGCGGGGGTCGGTTCCGGTTCTGAACTTTGTCTTCCGAGGTTCGAAGTTTATTTGTGCGTAACTTTGGGATGGACATGCTTGAGGAGGTGAGGGCTGCTTGCTTGAGGGTTTGTGAGAGCGGTACCAGAGGAGCCCTGAAAAATGTGAGAAGCCTGAGGGTCCCTGGTAAAGACGCGCCGGCTCGGTGCTGGCTTTGTCCTTTTGTTTGCTTGCTTGTTTGTTCAACCTGTGCCCGCCGATGGATGGGCAACTGCAATCTGGAGAGACCGAACTCAAAATATCCCTTTGGCATTTGGCCGAATTAGGCAAGTGCCTAAATTAAGAAACATTAATGGCCATGTACTCTTTCACTTAACCTTTTTACAGTCTTTAATTAGAACATAGCTGCATAAAATGGTTGTATCTAATAGACTTTTGTCGTTAGTTACTTGAGCGGCCAAGGGATCGCCCAGGTAATTCCAAACCCTGTGTGGGTTAGGAAGCGTTCTTGTCTCATGGAGTCAAACAGAAATCCACACCTGCAGGCGTTACAGGGGATGGCAGTTTCTCCTGGGACTGAGGGATTCGAGAAAGACTGTGGAGGGGAGTCCTAACAAAGATGGATAGGTAATCTGGAGAATCCTAAAATCGAGTGGCAGGGAACTGTTTCGGGCATCAGTTTCTTGAGCCAGTTCCAGGGACTTTCAGCACTACCTAGCGCTGCCGCCTGATGGCGCAGTCTGCTGACAGTTTGGTCGGTGCTCAGAACACTGGCCGCCTGAGAGTTTTGTTTTTGTTTTCCCCAGACTTTTGGCTGGAGGTTTCCTTTAAACTGTTAAGATATCATTAAAAGTGTCTTTCCAAATCCCCACGAGAAATCCCGTTCACAGTGGATCCATGGTAACAGTTTGTGTGTGTGTGTGTGTGTGTGTGTATGAGAGAGAGAGAGCGAAGAGAATGCTTATGTAAATACACACATGTTCATATGTCTTTGTTTACATGATTATGAAGTCACAAAGATTTATTCTTTGATTTAATCATAAATTGTTTTAAAATACTAGAAAAAGCACCTGGAGATGTGCCTCCTTCTCTTTTAGCAGCCTTATAGTATTTCATGCTTGATTTAAAGCACCTGGTTATATTTGCTTTGTACATTATACATGTGACTGAGTGTATTGGGACTTTTGTGTGTGTGTGTGTCTTTTGTTAGCCTTTTTTTTTGTCTGTCTTTTGTTACCTTTTAGTTGGTATGTGTCTGTGTTGAAATTCTAGCGGTATCACAGGTGCATATATTTAAATTTACTAGATGTCACCGAATTCCTCTCTAAACAAGTGTTATGAGTTGATGTCATTGTGTGTGATCTGTGTGAGCTGGGATTTTCTAATAAATCAAATAAACCGACAAATAACATCTCCCAAGAAGAGTCTGTCTGCAAATCTAGGTTGAATATCTGTTTTCTCACCCTTCTTAACATTAGCATGATAGCCGTCATCTTTCGATCTAATCCAAAGGATAGAAAATCTGAGTAAATTTCAAGCAGTGGGGTAATGTCTTTGGAATTAGTATTATGGGATAGGAATTAATTTAAATATTTTGAAAATCACACTAGAAATACTTTCTTAACTTTTGTGTGAGTGTGTGTGGGGTTGGGAAGGTATGTTGCATCCTAAAAATTTGGTAAAGGATTTCTGTAGCACAAAACCTATTTTTTAATGTTTTTGTTTGTCTTTATTAACTTGATTGCCTAAGTTCCAATAAAGCCATTTATTGTTTCATAAAACTTTTAGAGGCTACAATAGGGCTAATAGATTTAGGGAATTTATGTATTTTATTTTATTACCTGCAGCAATTCTGAGTATTTCATAGCAATCTCTGTGGTGAGAATATTTACAATCAATATATAGAACACTGAAGAGAGTTCTGAACTGCAATGATTTTTCTTATTAAGAAGATATGGTGTATAATATTTTCTACAAGCTTGCATGTGCACGCACACAGAAAGAAAAAGAAACTATCTCAGAAAGTATAATAAAATCAAAAGGATGGCAGAGTACTTGCAAGATGGAAAATGTAGAAAAAGAACCATTGGACTAATGGTTAAAACCTTACCAATGACTTTCAAGAGAGTTAATTATACATGTGACTGAGTGTATTGTGACTTTTTTTTGTCTGTCTTTTTGCCTTTCATTTGTTATAATCTCCTACCTCAATTTCCCTTCTTTTTTGTCCCATTCTGGCTTATACACATTTCATTATAGCAACCCAAAACACATATGTTTTAAAGTTGGAGTCAGCTTCTTTAAAAGTGATCTAGTCTCGGCCCTCCCTGGTGGCGCAGCGGGTTAAAGCACAGCACTGAGAATCTAAAGCCACTTCCGCATGAGTTCGATTTCCACCTGCCCCGGAGGTGACCACATGGCGGGCAGACCTCTCCTGACCCGCCCGCTGCTCCCCTCAGCAGTGTACTTCGTTGATCTGCCTGTTCTGTTCCCCACTCTGTCTCTGGTGAAGCCTCTCGCCGCCCCTGAGCCTCTGGCCTGTACCCCAGTTCTGTATGCACAAATAAATAAATCTTTAAAAAAAAAAAAAGTGATCTAGTCTGTTATGTTTTATACTTTGCCATTTACATTCATGCAGTTAGAAGCCAGAAGAATATAGAACTACCTATGTCTGGATACAGAGCATAGCAGACCAGATCACTGTCATTCTATGACATTAAAAGTCTACTTAGTTTGCCTAAGTGATGTCCTTGGCTTATTTAGAGCTTTAAGAAATCTTCAGTGTAAGTTAACATATATCATGTACTGAATACAGATGTTTAGTATATCTGATGAGCTTTATAAAGTACTAGATACTCATTTGACATTGTGAATTCAGCAATACCTGTGAACATCTAAATCTAGTACTTGTTCTCAAGAGTTTGTAAATTGAGTGTGTATTAAGAGCACAGCTTGAGTAGACCTTTGTATTGTTCTTCCTGGCACTGTGGGGTAAATAACCTTACTTTTGGTAACCAAATATCAGAATATCTAATTCTGACATCCCTGAACTGATATGTGATTAAGTAACACCATTATATCTCAACAGTGTAAAAATGCTAGCAATAGAATAGGCTTGTTATTCATACTTGTTGACAATACCTAAATATTCATTAACAAATATAGGTAGGAATTTTAGAATCAACTTTGAATAAAACTTTGTCATCCAATTGAAGTATACTTAAATATGATTGTAATTTATGACTTTGAAAATTGTTAACTTTCTGTATAAAACAGATACTAATTTTTAGTTGAATAGCGAAATAGATTGCCTGTTAGTATACATGCTTACACATTTTTTTGCCCCTTTCTTATGTGTACAAGCATTTTATGTACTTGAAAAAGTATTCTTGTGTTTTATTTGTGGTAGCAATTTTTATGTTTCTAGGTGTTTTTTGAAGGAAGTGCGTGTAGATTGAAAAAAATTATGAGGAAAAGAAGGTCATGTAGAAAATATGAAGATGTGAATGCCTCACCTTTGCATTATGCTGCAGAAGAAGGCCAAATTCAGCTGCTAGAGATGATCATCAATGACTCCTGTTGTGACGGTAAGAAAATGTTACATTGAGAGCTGTATAAATTTATCATCCCATTAGATCCATTCGAAGAGTGTTATGAAGTGACTCTGAAGGGTGGATAATATCTAGATTATTAAAGGCCTGGATATCCCACTCAGGAGTGTGGTTTTCATTATAGACCATTACTCTTCAGTCCTTTCCACTGAAATACTACAAAAGAAAGCGCAGAGCTCTCGAACATTCCACAGCAAAAACAGATTTTCTTTCGTTCTCTATGACAAATAGTAAAAATTCTTAAACATCTTCTGTAATCTTCTAAACTGTTTCCACTGAGGCCATTCTACTATTATAAATTGATTAACATCAAATAAACTGGCATTCCAAGAAGATATAACATTCTTTCCTCACCCTGTCTTTGTATGCAAACCTTATTTGAGTCAAATAAAGAATATGAATGCCATACAGATTTAAGCAGTGTGAATATATGAAGAAAATTGTTATAAAAGATGATTCTGTCACTATTGTCAAAAATAGAAGCCAGTTAAAAAGCTCTTCACGTAGTTAAGAGAATATGTCTCCACCAGGGTTTTGGGGTTGGAATGAGGGAGAGATTCAAGAGCTAGTTTGCTGCATTTGACAGTTGCAGTGTGGATGTTTCTCAAGAGATTAAAAAGACCATATTCCAAATGGTACAGCAATTTCACTTCTATTGTATCTACCCAAAAGATACAATAACACTAATTTAAAAAGAACTTGCACCCTTATGTTCACAGTAGCACAATTTACAAAAGCCAAGATATGGAAACATTCTATATGCCCCCAAAGAGATGAGTAGATCAAGAGATGTGCTATGTAGCTACATTTGTATGTGTGTGTATATACCAAGAAGATGTGTGTGTGTGTGAGTATATATTAATATTACTCAGCAGTCAAAAAAGGCAAACTCATGCTATTTACAGCAACATGGGTAGAATTGAAAGGGATAATGATAAGTGAAATAAATCCAATGGAAAAAGACAAATACTAGAGAGTGTACCTGATATGTAGAATATGGAGAAATTGAGCTAAGGATAAGGGAAAGCTGACCCTTGAAAGCTAACTGTAGAACTGAAGCATTCAGAGGGGTAAGGGTGTTGGTAGGGGTAAGAACAAAGATGGAAGGAAGCACAGCAGTGATGGGCTATGGGTGATTTGGTGGCAGATATTCTACAGTGACAATACCTGATGAGTTAGATTCATAGTTTTATCTCAATTAAAAGAATAAAATAATGAATTACAAAGATTGAATGCAAAGAGTAAGTGGCAAGAGATTAAAATGACTGAGGTTCCTAATTTAGAGATTAGGCTAAAGGCATAACCACCCAGAAAAGGAGGTACATAGAAAACAAAAGAAAAGTGACCCTGAAGATGTGAAGGCATAAGAAATTTGATTTTGATCATACTGAGTTTGGAAAGTTCCAGGGACAGTTATTTAGAAATACAGTATCTGTTAGAAAACTAGAAATAGAAAAAGGAAAGGAGTCAACCTACAGGGCCATTTTACACAGGAAGTAGCTGAGGCTGTGGAATACATGAAAATCCTTTAAGAGACCATACAATTGCTAACAAAGGCAGCTGGGAGAATTTTTAACAACATGAAGGGTAGGAGATTGATAATACATGAGCTGGAAGAGGAGTTTTTGGGAAAGATGAAGTAAAGGATCAATTGCCACAATGAGAGCAAGTAGGCACAATAATCCTCACATCAGAAGATCTTAATAACCTATATAAAACTAATTTCTGAAAAGTGGTAGAGATAAAATCCAAATTCAAGATTTTCAATTGGTGAATGAGAAGTGTGTAAGTTTAGCCTCTCTTTAAATTTGGTATTGAACGAAATACTTTTTTTTTTTTTAATCACACAGAATGACCACAGAATTAAGTGTGTAGGACTTTTGGGTGTGTCCATGTGAATGAGTAGGTGTGTGTTTATGGTTTAAAATGAGGCACCTGAAAGAATAAAAGGATATATAGGAGAGATATTTTTTTTAAGCAGATAAACAGGAAATATGGCTGTAGCTTTGCAGATATTATAAATGATTCCCAAATCACATTTATGAGTGAGCACTTTTCCCTCCTCAAGACATAAAAACATGTGACCACTAACTAAAATGGTTGATAAAAGTCATGTCTGTTTTAAAATTGATGTAGACACTATAGTATATATTCTTATACTGAGCTTACAAGTAAATAGAAAAATATATTCTATTGCAGAAATATACAAGGGAATGATTTCTCAAGTCTGAATGACTATAATTCTAGCTATTTGTGGTGTGTCCTTCTTCACGTTTTGAACCATTGCTATGGATGGATCAAATACTCCACTAATGTCTTGGAATGTCTTAAAATGCTCCTCCAAGCATTACACATTGCGAAGGACACATATATCCTTCTCCCCGTCTGTTTCCTGTCTCTCCCTTTCCTTTCTTTCCCCTTTCCCCTCTCCCTCTCCCTCCCCTTCTCCTCCCTTAACCTCCCCTTCCTATTTGAATATGATAAAACTGAGGTTCAAAGGGGTAATTTAGGGAGCTCCTTACTATAGGTATAACACTGGCAAATTTCAAACCTCCCTAAGCCCCATCTATCTTGACCTTTCCTTACTTTGTAAAATGGGTCAAGGTGCCTTGTGGACTGCTGGAGGGTTAAATGAAATAATGATTCTATGGTTCTATGGAACCTCATAGAGTGCCTGGCACAGGGTTCAATATTTTACAAAAACTCCCAAATACCACAGATAAAAATGTGGCAACAGGAGGCTTTATTTCTTGGATGCTCGGGACAGTCATTTCACTCATCCACAAAGTCAGCACCACACTTTTGTGCCTCTCCTCAAGTGTCCATAGAGGTTTCTTGAGAACTGAAGCTGCATTCTTATTTTTCATTAGGAAGGTAAAGCCTTATTGTAGCTTAGCACTGAGTTTTGAAGCAAATTGACATGCAGTGGGAATTTCAAACGGTGCAAGAACAGTCTGTTCCATATTCTGTGTCTTTTTCTAGTGCTGAATGTGATGGACAATTTTGGAAATACCCCTATGCACTGGGCGGCATTAAAAAACCAGGCTGAGAGTGTTAAGTTTCTTCTTAGCAGAGGAGCCAACCCAAACCTCCGGAACAGCAACATGATGGCACCTCTCCACCTCGCTGTTCAGGGCTTGCATAACGAGGTGGTGAAGGTAAGGGTGCTGGCCAGCTCCCGGGGCACTGACCCTCACAGCATGGGTCTGTGCCCACGGCTGTGTCTCTGTCTGGGTAAGCGTGGCCAGCCTAAGCTGGCAGCACAAGTGCAACTTAATGATTACAGTATTTGCTTTATTTCTGATTACGTGGTGATCGTGAGAGAGATGCCTGTGATAATATTAATAGTCTTACCTTAACTGAATAATTCTTATGTACTGAGCATCTTCCTTATAGCTTTGTATGCTTTAGCTATTTAAATCTTCCTATAAAATATTAAAGTTTGAAGTATGACTGTTATCCCTGCTTCCTAGCTTAGAAAACTAAATCACAGAGGTAATTTTCTTAATGTTGTATAACTGCTAAAAGCCAAAATTAGGAACTTTGTTCTCATCTTTGCAAGTTAAGGCACTGTCGCTTTTATTTGACTTATTAGAAATCAAGAGGTGATTGATTATAAGTTAAATAATCAATGTATTAATCCAATTAATAAGTTAAATTGGATTCCTCAATTAATGTTTTTGAAGAATTATTGGTTATACCATAGCAGATGAGTTAAATAAATAATAATGAGTTAAAGAATTATTTAGCCTCACATACAGGAAGAATGATGTCAACTATTTGAAATTCAGAACATTTGAATTTTGAGGGACTTACTTGGTCCTTCTCTTCACATTAAAACCTATTTTGTCTAAAAATCTTCAAAGAGAGTTAGGGGTATCCATGACCTCCATGTTCCCTCTAGCCCAAAATCTTTTCTCTCAGCTCTCTGAGTCACTGGTTCCTTTAAATCAGGCATAGAGGGCCTGAAGGGAGCCTCCTTCCTGCTTTTCTGTTGTATCTTGTATACAGCTCTCTTGTAATTCTTAGAACACGTAGTGTAATGCAATCAAATATAATGTGCTTTTCTTCCTCTCTGACTGGTTATCATTGATGGAGGTTGAGCAATTTTAATATAAATCCAGTTCTCAACACTACTGAGTGAATGAATGAAGGAATGAATGAATATGTCAGTGGGGGTTCCAGCTGAAAGAGTAGGGAGAGTTGAGCCAGAGAAGTCCCTCAAAGAACTTACTGGAAAGGCCTTTGGCAATACTATTTCTTAAATGTTTGCATTTTTCATTTGCCAGGTGCTGCCGCTATATCACCTGGGTTGGGCTACTCGTGACTGTAGAGAGCCCTCAGAAATGTCAGGTGTTTCTCCAAGGAGCTCTTGTGCTTCCTCTAATCCTCTTTTGAGGAAAAAATGAACATTAACTTAATTAATCTTGGCTATAAAGCATGATTTGGGAATCAAAGACAGAATAACAGTTGAAAAGATGATTGTAAATTAGAAATCTCAAGTCCTCAGACTTACAAATACATAAAGTTGATACCATATAAAAATATAAAAGAAAATTTGGAAACAAACCCACAATTGATTTGTAAAATAAATACAACAAAAGTTCTCCTGGGTGATGTCAGAACAAGAAGAAAAATATGGTTATAAGAGAATTTAAGTTAACTGGTTTCCTTTTATTTGGTCTTACCAGTCAAATAACTTCATCGGTTATATTTTCAAAGCCCTCTGCTTCACCAAAAATAAAAAGAAGGAGGAAAAATTGTGTAATGTCTTCCTGTGTTCTTGCAAGTAGCCATCCTCTGCCACTTCTGTCCATGGGCCCAGCCTCTGCCACACCTGCCAGTTGAGAATGTTTTTCCATTGTCTGCTCTACCACTGCCCCCCCCCCCACCTCCTACTGCTTCTCAAGAACCAGTCAAATGAAAAAAAATAGATGTTACCTCAAGCTCTTGCCAGAGGACTTGAGGCACAATGGCCTGGGAATTAGTAGGCAGCCTTGTTTTTCTATAGCCTGCAGGCCTTGGGGCTTAACCTCAAAGTATTAGTGGATGACCCTCTCCTGAGGCTCCCTGACTTCTCTTCAGAGGGACCCCTGGAGGCTCACCTGCAGATCTTTCAGTCTTGTGCTGTGTTGAATAAGTTTGAAATGGCTGCACAGTTTAGTTGCTCTCTCTGGGACTCCTGAATTTAACATGACTGTGAAAGATGGTGCTTATGGTAGTATACCAGTATGCGAACAAATGCTAGCCATCTCCAACTCCAAAGCACAAAAAGAAAAATCTCCTCTTATAGACTTCTGTGAATTCCTTTACATGTGACTCTAGAATTTTATCAAATGACAAAACTAAAATAAATTAGTAATGAGTTTGATATCCTTTAATCAAGGTTGCTGATCTATCAGGGTACATTCTATAAAATGTAGCCTTGGTAGGAGCTTGTGTGCTTTAAAAATAGTCAAGGTGTTTAGGAAACAACTTGTTCAATAAATTCTTACTAGATAATTATAAGTACATGTCAGTTTGACAGTCTTGTTGTAGGACAACTCAAAGATTTTTCTAAGGAGAGATGTTTATACTAAATAAATATTCTTTGATGTAATGTAAAAATGCTGGCTAAAGATGTATAGAGTCTTGGCCAGTAAGAAGCTGAAAGGCAACAAGATGAGAGAGTAATGGGCCTTGAATTAAATTTTATTAGAAAGTTGCTTAAGCATATTATAAGGAATGCTAATTTCTTACATCATGGAAACAGTTTCTGTTCCAGACTAAGTTTGAATTAATTGAGTTAAGCTATACCAGTGTTATATGAAACTCTTTTCTCTGCTGAAGAGAATGGAGTTTTAATTGCTGCTTCCCAGAATTCTTGCAATCTAATTTAAAAAACAAATGACCATAGAAGGAAAAAAACAAAACAAAACATTTCCTTCCTTTTTCCATACTCATTTCTTCACTTAGTCTTTCTTTCCTTTCTCTCCTCTTTTTCTTTCCCAACCCACACATTCCAAATGACTTAACAAATTTGCTTTTTGTAGGTATTAGTTAACAGTGCTTATTCAACACAAGTATACAATGAGCCATGTTAACTAGTATCTTCAATTTTTATTCTACTTCCAGTTCCATAATTCAATATTTCTTAATTGATATGATAAAGAAATTAAAATTATTTCACATATTTGAGAAATATAGTGATGACCCAAGATACTGAAGCTTTTATGTCAGATTCTATGAGAGATGGGTGAAGGAAGATAAAGCCGTGGTCCCTGGATCCTAGAGCTTATATTCAAGTGGAAGTCAAGTACCTTCTTTGCAAACCTGCAAGTTAAGTTTTGATGATTATTCCCCTCTTTTGTTTAGGTCTTGACTGATCACAGCAGTACTAATCTTAATTTGGAAGGAGAAAATGGAAACACAGCTGTGGTGATTGCCTGTTCCAAGGATAATAGTGAAGCACTACAAATTTTGGTTTGTACTTTAATATTTTTGTTTCCTTTGTCTTCTCATCAGTACAACATGGGTTATTATATGCCACAACTCTCAAATAGAAAATATCAGAAAAAAAAAATAGTTCTATGTATTGTTTATGTACAAGTCCCCTAAGTCTATAGTGATCTGAGATTGCTCATAGGAGACTAACAGGAAAGTTGACATTAGAAAAAACTAGTACTAAACAAAATATGAGAAGATTAAAGTGAAGGAAAGTATAGAAAGGACAAATGAAGATGAAATTGGCAGTCAGGATAGATAACAAAATATAAAATATGCTAATCTGTATGTGGATGGCAGTGGAAAATACTTCTGATTCTTCACTTCTCATAGTCAAAGAAAGACTCATATAGTCACTTACAGACTTATTGTTGACACCATATAAGATTGCCAAGAGAAGCATATCCATCATGTTTCCGAGATAAGAAGAAAATTCCTGCTATGGGTTCTCAAAATGGGAGTCCTATTTGTGATACAATGAAGAAGGTGTTCACCACAGCCCTAAAAGTAAAATCTTCTCTCCTAAAAGTAAAACCCTTTTTCTTGAGGTGGTCAGGAAAAATTCAGGAGATGCCTGTCACAGGAATGGCTCCTGTTCCACATCACCTTTCTGGGTGTGGCACTAGGGTTCCGATAAACAATGTTCTTTCAAATATCACTTAATTACTTGTATCTGTCTAATGTTTAAATTTACTATTATGTACTGACATTTACCCAGTTGTCTTGAGAAAAGTATGTATTCTTGTATGTATAAACTGTTGTGAGTGGAGCAAAAGAGAATAACGTTCAGATCAAGATCTTAGGACAAGAGTTTCAAATAAATGAAAATTGGAAGAAATAGCAAATTTGAAAACAAATAATAATTTTGGAATTATTTGATAAATTGAGTTACTGCCTTGAAAAAAGATAATACAGATAAGAGTATTGAGAACTAAGGCAAAAAGAAACTACACAAACCAACAAAATTAGAAATTACAAAGGGATTTATCTGGATCTGATAGAGAATTTAAATGACAAATGCTCCATATACACAATCCTATCCCCCAAAACTTGAAAGTCTGTTAAACAGTAAGTTGAATTAATAAATTTAAATTAGTAAAGAATAAATTAAAAAAATTTAATTAACTAAAAAAATTAAAGACTTGTAGGGAACAATATAAAGGGAAAAATGCATGATCCAAACTCTGGAATAAGCTAACATAACACACTTCTATAGATTTTTGTATGTTCACTGAGATATTAAGATAGTTAATTTTATATCTACTTTTTAATTTCATCTTTGAAAAATTTAAAACCCTTGTATTTCAGAATCTTAACCCCATTCCCAAATTACGTTTTACCTAGAGTTCATATCCTCTGGAATGTTACTTTGTGGTTATACATAGACAAAGAATTGTGAAATGGTCTGGGAGATGTGTGTACATTCTTGTCTACCCTTGTGATTTTGGGTATAACGTGTGTCAATTGATTTTTGTTTAAATTCTTTCCTTTTCTCCAGTTAAATAAAGGAGCTAAGCCATGTAAATCAAATAAATGGGGATGTTATCCTGTTCACCAGGCTGCATTTTCAGGTGCCAAAAGATGCATGGAAATAATATTAAAGTATGGTGAGTTTAGGTTTTCCTATAGTATACCCTATAAGATACCTATTATGGTAGATGCTATCAATTTGATGAAAATACTTAACAGAATTTATGTATGGCTTTTAAGACTTTTTTTTTTTTTAAAGATTTATTTATTTGTACATACAGAACTGGGGTACAGGCCAGAGGCTCAGGGGCGGTGAGAGGCTTCACCAGAGACAGAGCGGGGAGCAGAACAGGCAGATCGACGAAGTACACTGCTGAGGGGAGCAGCGGGCGGGTCAGGAGAGGTCTGCCTCGCCATGTGGTCTCCTCCGGGGCAGGCGGGATTTGAACTCATGTGGAAGTAGCTTTAGCTTCTCAGTGCAGTGCTTTAACCCGCTGCGCCACCAGGGAGGGCCTTTAAGACTTTTTTAAGACTTAAAATTAGTCTTAAAATGTTATTTGTTTATGATATTTGTTATCTCGAATTTTATTTTCTTTTAAAGGTGAAGAACATGGATACACAAGACAGTCTCATATTAACTTTGTGAATAATGGGAAATCTAGCCCTCTTCACCTAGCAGTTCAAAGTGGTGACTTAGGAATGATTAAAATGTGCCTAGATAATGGTGCCAAGCTGGACCTGATGGAGGTAAACATTCATTTCATATTATAATTTCAGAATTGTTATTTTTTTCCAAAATGATGCATAGCTCTTTCTGCACAGTTCTTTCATAGTTAGTTTATACCTATACAGATATTATTTCCTGCTATTGATGTAGACACATGGCAAGGGAACTCAGATTTTTAATCTCTTTTAAAGATTTTGAGCACTACCAAAAACAATCGAAAGGAGATTACAGATAATAGAAGCGGCACATGCAGACACTGGTAGTAAACTTGCTGGCAGGGCTGGGATTGCAAGAAAGCAAAATTGCCAGCTGTAATTTTTGTATTAATATTTTTCAATACATGAAATTAGTATTCACCATCTTAAATTCCATATTCCATGAGTTAGTTGATGTAGGAAGAAAAGTTCATAGCTGAATTTGTGTTCTATTTTTGAATTGAGAATTTAAACATTGGTTCTGATATCAGCTGCCTCTCTCCAGAATGGGAAGTGCACAGCCCTTCATTTTGCTGCCACCCAGGGAGCCACTGAGATTGTTAAATTAATGATATCTTCCTATACTGGCAACAGCAGGGATATTGTCAATGCAGTGGATGGAAATCAGGAGACACCACTTCACAGGCAAGTTTTCTACCTATCATCCTGTGCACTGTGTACAGGAATTTAAAAAATCTTTTAAGTGATTAATGGTTAACAAATTTAAAAATGCAGTGGTCTGGGTATAGTTAAAATGTGTTCATCTAGAACATGGCTTTAATATACAAATATGCCCCAAAAGGAATTATTTTAGGGAAATAGATCTATGCTCTTGTCCCATAAGTATCCTTAGCCCAGTGACTACTAGGCTTAAATACTCAACTTGGATTGTCTGAGATTTCTCACACCACCAATTCCGATGAAGGTTCTTCTGACCTACAATCTGGTAGTCTCTTTCTGATAACCATTGACATCTGGAGTTTGTCTGTGCTTCAAAGAAAAGTTTGCCCTTTGGGATTTACTCCCCTTCTTACTGTGATACACATATCTAAGTAGATTATTTCAGTTGAAACATTGAGCTTTGGAGTAAGAATGGGACTGGAGCCTTTCCTGACTTTGTAACCTTTGACAGATCATTTAATCTTTGCCAGGCTGCTTTCATTCCAGATCTGCTGACATTTTGCATTTTTAATGGATGCTTACTACTGATGCTACTGGCCTGCAGCAAACTTTCCTCAGCAAAATTCAAGATGGGAGGGAATAAGAACAAACCAAGTGGGGCCTTAATGTTGTTCTTTAGTTCCTAAAATTAATAAAGGGATTTAACACAATTTAAATAGTATGAAGTATCTTGTGAATTTGAGTGAAAATTGGGAAGAAAATTGGATCCCAAAATTTATATATAACAGGCTAAGAAAAGCTGAGGTAACAGTGATTAGGGAGAAAAAATGAGATTTGCAAAAAGTTTGAACTCATTAGTGTTAACATTTGTTATGGTGGTGTTTTAATATAGATGGAAAACTTTTATTTGCTTTATTCATTAATTTTTCCCTTATGACTGAGTATGCTGTGATTCCAAAATGACTTAAATTCTCCCAATGACTTGTTTGAATTCATAAAACCTTAAGAGAGCTAATGCTGCCTTGACAGCTTTTGCTAAAGGGGGCATTTTGAACACTCAGGTGAATTTTAGGCACATATTGCATAAAACTTGTTAATTTCCGTATACACAGTGATAACAACAAGCGCATTTTTATTTTCATTTGTTAGGACAGATATTATAGCTCACAGCAGATCATCTTCTTAGAAGATTTACGTGGAGAAAATTGGATGGACTTTATAAAAGATGAGGAAGAAAATCTTATGATGTATTATTTGATCATTTTCTACTCCTGCTATTTTTAAAATACTACCCTAATCAGATCAATTATATATTATAAAAGGTTATTAAATCTCTGTCATTTTATCTTTAAATTATTATTATTTTCTTTTTTTATATTTAATTATTTGTATATGTTTTATATCAGGTGTAGCCCCATAGAATTTCCAACACCAGTTCTCCCATGCACCATCACATTAGCATTAAATGATTTTTAAATTGACATTACAAATCTAGTGACTTTATGGGTTACATTTATAGCAATAGGATCTTAATGTGTTTATAATTCTTTTTCTGCAGAGCCTCACTATTTGATCACCATGAACTAGCAGAATACTTAATTTCAGTGGTAACTATTCCATTGGCATGTTTATTTTATTTCATATAAAATTTATAATGTGCATGTGCAAAATGAATCAAATTTTAATTTCTTGCCTGTCAGCAAATACATTTACCAAAAGCTGATTGACATATTTGTAGATGGAATTTGTTGTGTATGACTACATAATGGACAAGTTAGTTACCATGATTTAGAAGCATCAAAGCCTATTTGATATATATATATCCATGTTTTTGGTGTTGGGAGTTGGAGGATCCATGACAAAGAAAGCTCTTTGCCTAGAAAAAAAGCACTATGTCTGAACTAGACTAAGAGAGTGTTAGCTCGGTGATTCTGCTGACTCTCAGCACCACACAGGTGGTTTTGAGGGTGAAGCAGGCCAGGTAGCAGGTGTCACTTTCACTTTCCTTCGTAAACTTTTACCCAAGCCACTTCCGTGCCATCTTTCAAACAGTGAAAAACTGAAAGCAGAATTTTTTCATTGTGTGGTTGGAATTAACAGAATTTTGGGTTAATTTTTTTTGTTAAATTTTAATAAGCCCTTTATACAGATAAATATATGATTTATTTATTTAAGCTCCAGTACATCTGCAATGAATGCAGCTCTAGTTGTAGTATTTAACATCTGTTTTTTCCAATAGCAACTACTGAAATTATAATATTTACATAAAATTCTGGGAAGATGCATTATGTACTAAATCCCGTCACACATGATTTTCTGCAAATGCAGCTCTTCATCTGGCAAGAAAACTGTTGTGGCAGGACTTCTCAGACCTCCATCATGCTTTCAAAGAGGGTTGCTACTGTCATTCTTTATGCTCAGGGGATTCCAAAAGAAAAGGGAAACATCGAGGCAAGGTTTAAGCTGTCCAAAGGATGGAATTCTTCCCATGAACTTTAAAAAAGCCTCTGTTTCTTGTCATACCAAGTATGATAACCATTGACTGACTCATTTGAAAAGTACATCTGTGTTGTACTTTTAAAGTACAAATGCATCAAAAATGAAAAAAGCAAAGTACTAATGTTAATTATATTTGACTACAACTTTATTTTAGGGCTCGAATCAGTTCCATTTATTTCAGTTCTTTGTTTCAAATAAAGTAAGTTTTTTAAAAAGTGAAGACTTTCTTTTAAAGGTTTTAAAATACCACAGTTATAATAAATTTGAAAGGCTATTTTTACCATATATTTTCAGTGGTAATTAAACCGTAGATATTGGTGAAAGGATTTTATTTTTAAGGCTTAGGTAATAATGACATAGTGCTTTTGAGATGTTAATCAAAGAATTAACATGTAAGGATACATTTTGTTGTTGAATTCATTAAAAAATGCCTTGACTCCTGATGTTGCAATATATAAATGATACAGAAACATTTAGCAGGTCTACAGTCTTATGATTGTGTGCTAACCATACTATGAACACTATGCCAGGGAGTTGACATTATTTTTTAAATTGTAGTGTAAGCTGGTTTGTGTGTTCTTAAGCTCTGCATAGAATGACTTGTTTGATTTTAGGGAGCAGATATTAATGCCACTGATTCTGAAGGACGATCTCCACTGCTACTAGCAACTACTTCTGCATCTTGGAATACTGTAAATTTGCTACTCTCTAAAGGTACCAAGAGTGAACAAAGTCAAGTCTTTTGAAATACCACTCAATTTGGTTAGATAAACACTTACTAATCATATTATTATGTATGTCAGGCACTGGGCCAGGTGCTATATGCAAACAGAAATAGAACACTTTCCATGTCTAGAATAATTTTCTGTAACGTAAAGAGAAGTAGTTAGATAATTTCAGGTTGGCAGTAAGTATTTATAAAGCAATTACATTTCAGACGTTTTGCTGAGCATTTTATCTATATTCTCTCAATGAATTAATACCATATGATGTAGGTACTGTAAGTTTTTAACATACTAGCCTGGTGTGATGGGAACTTAGAAGAGTGGTATCTTCCCTTCTTTCTTGCTTTAATGGTTAAAATGTAAAGACTTATATATTAATGTTAATTAGTCACATATCCCCTACCCGTTATTCATACACACACAGCCCATTTTTTAAATGTTTAATTTTCCTATATAAAGTTTCCTGTGTATTAAAATTTAGCAAAATTTTAGGTCAAAAATTTTATTTTTGTTAATTGAAAACTCACCATAGGCCATGCTTTAAATAAATGAATAGTAGTTATATTTATTTTTTGTGTGTGTTTTTTTCAGGTGCCCATGTAGACATAAGAGATGATCTAGGACGTAATTTTCTGCATTTAACTGTACAACAGCCTTATGGATTAAAAAACTTGCAACCTGAGTTTATGCAGGTAATATATAAGTGTGTGATTATACGTGTGTGTGTGTGTGTGTGTGTGTGTGTGTGTATAAGTGTGTGATTATATATGTGTGTGTATACATATATATACATATATATATACACACACATGTATCTTTTTTCTTTTTTCTTTTTCTTAAGAGAATACATTGATATTAAGTTCTTAAGTGTTATTCAGGGAGGGAAGGGAGAGACTGAGTAGGTGGCCTATGATCAAATAAATTTGGAAAATGTTGGGTTAAAAAAATGTGAAGTACATTTACCACTTCAGGAGTTCTCAGAAGCTTCAATATTGTGTGTGTGTGTGTATGTATATATATATATATATATATATATATATATATATATATATATATATATATATATACATACGTTTGTGTATGTGTTCCCATTGAGTTGGCTTATTTAGATGGTAAATTGATTTGTACACTTACTAAGAGTAAAACATGTGAGTTTTTCTCATATCAAAGCTGATTGATTCTGAAATCTACAATTACTTATAATAATGATGCCATATTTGCATATTTATTTGTAACATAATAGTGATGACTACATATACATATATATATACATATATATATACATACACACATACACAATAATAAATTAATTGGGATTTATTTTCAGAGTAACAGAGGGTCTCCATTTATCCCCATCTATAATCAGCTTTCTTTGACCATTACAAATTGTATGTTAATGGGAAAGGCCAGTATGTGAATTAGCAATATTCCATCATCAGTGACATGACATGTTGACAGGTTGTTTTTTTTTTTTAAGACTTATTTATTTATTCATACAGAACTGGGGTACAAGCCAGAGATGCGGAGGGTGAGAGGATTCACCAGAGACAGAGCGGGGAGCAGAACAGGCAGATCGACGAAGTATACTGCTGAGGGGAACAGCGGGCGGGTCAGGAGAGGTCTGCCACACCATGTGGTCACCTCCGGGGCAGGCGGGGATAGAACTCATGTGGAAGTGGCTTTAGCTTCTTAGTGCTGTGCTTTAACCCGCTGCGCCACCAGGGAAGGCCGCCATGTTGACAGGTTTAAAACATCATTTCCATACTTATATTCACTAATTCTTACTGAGGGAGTGTTAGGTATATCTCTGTTAGGTGTATATAAAAAGTTCATCATATTTTTATATTAAGTAAGCTTTAATATTAGCAGTGTCTTTAATAAAGAATCAAATGCATATATGCACTTGAATATTTTAAAAATAGGCATTTTTAAATTGGCAGATTAAATAACTTATTTGGTATTCATTTTTTATTTAATATACATGTAAAAGATAAACGCAATTTTAACATCTCATTTCTTTTTCTTAACAGAATACATTAGTATTAAGTTCTTAAGTGTTATTCAGGGAGGGAAGGGAGAGGCCGAGTGGGTGGCCTATGATCAAATAAATTTGGAAAATGTTGGGTTAAAAAATGTGAAGTACATTTACCACTTCAGGAGTTCTCAGAAGCTTCAATATTGTATTATACTGTATGCAGAGAAAGAACCTATATCATTTTCCCAATTACTTTACCCTAGTGCTTTTCAGGTTATGCATGTTTCTATCCTCAAAGTATAGATATGGACCCTTACTGAAATCTATAATTTTGAAGAATAGTTTGAATACTGTTAGCCTGATATCAGAATTATATTTAGAATTATAATTTTTTCTCTAGATGCAACATATTAAAGAACTGGTGATGGATGAAGATGTTGATGGGTGTACTCCCCTGCATTATGCTTGCAGACAGGGGGTACCTGTCTCTGTAAACAACCTACTCGGCTTTAATGTGTCCATTAATTCCAAAAGCAAAGATAAGAAATCACCCTTACACTTTGCAGCCAGGTAAGAATCAGTTTATGTGGTCTATCAGCGGGCCTGTTTCTTTCTGCTTAATGGTTGTTTAAAAATTTAAAGCCTATTTTTTTTTTTTTTTACTAAATACTATTTGTTATCGAGGTGACATTGTTTTACAACATTGCATATGATCTGAGGTATAGTTTTGCATCTCTTCAACTGTTTACCATTCCCCACTCACCACTAACGCCCAATGATCAATTCTGCAGGTAGATTTCTAGGGTTTGTTGTGAATTTATTTTGCCTGATGCATCTTAATGTTTTCAAGTTATGGGCGTATCAATACGTGTCAGAGGCTCCTGCAAGACATAAGCGATACGAGGCTTTTGAATGAAGGTGACCTTAATGGAATGACTCCCCTCCACCTGGCAGCAAAAAACGGACATGATAAAGTAGTTCAGCTTCTTCTGAAAAAAGGTGCATTGTTTCTCAGGTGAGGACATACTTATATTTATATAGCTTTTTTTTTTTTTTAAATAAATTCTCTAATTTGCAATTTTCAGGCTGTTTTCTATTTTATTTTAAATTATGATATCTGACTTTTTGTCTCAGTATATACTTTTATCCACCTAACTAATTACTAAAGTATACATAACTTTTAAGATCCTGAAATATTGCAAGGGACAGGACGTCCCAGGTGATTGTTGAGGTTAAAGTCTCAGTGCTTTCATGCTGGCTGTGGCCACTGCAGCATGAGTTGGATCCCTGCCCCCGCCCCACATGACGTAGCAGCCCTCTCCTGTCTTGGCTGCTGCTCCCCTCACCAGAGTTTTTCAGTAGATCTGCCTGCTCTGCTCCCCACTCTGTATCTGGTGAATCCTCTCACCCCTCACACTTCTGGCCTACACCCCAGTTCTTATATGTATAAATAAATAATAATAAATATGTTAAATACACACACACACACATATATATATAAAGGGCAATCATAATTATGCTTCATTGATGAAGACACTGAGATTTATGCAATTAATTTATGGATTGATGAATTTATGGAATTCAAGCTCACAGATTAGAATAAATAGCTTTATGCAGCAGAGTTCCAGGAACCTTTGTATACAGCCCCTCGTATCTTACTTCATCATGCTGTTATTATCTCTGTATGAAGATACATATAAGTATATGTACATGTAAACCCTCCCACACTATAAGTTCCAAGGCTCCATTTTTTTATTCAACCTGTTTTATGATGAACACAGAAAGCTCCCTTTCAAGCTACAACATAAGCTATAAAAATAATCCTGCATTTTATAATAATTACAGGAAATCTCATAGAGCACATTCAAATCAAAATAACTACGCATAATAATGAAGTGGCATAATGAAATGACATTATTATAAAAAAGGAAAATCCAGAAAAACTTTATAGAAGTTTGATGATCTAGGGGCCCTCCCTGGTGGTGCAGCAGGTTGAAGCATAGCACTAAGAAGCTAAAGCTACTTCCGCATGAGTTCGATCCCGCCTGCCCCAGAGGCAATCCCACATGGCGTGGCAGACCTCTCCTGACCTGCCCGCTGCTCCCCTTAGCAGTGTACTTCAGCAGTCAGCCTGTTCTGCTCCCCACTCTGTCTCTGGTGAATCCTCTCACTGCCCCTGCACCTCTGGCCTATACCCCAATTCTGTATGAATAATAAATAAATCTTAAAAAAAAAAGTTTGGTGATCTATCTTCTCTATCACCAAAGTACTATCAAAAAGCTCACTATGCTAATATTCAAAATTACATTTCTTTATCAGAGTGTCAATCCCAGCAAAGTAGCAGTGTAGCTGACAATGAGTCCTCTGCCCAACCTCCTGCTTATAAAGGGACATCAGGCAGCAGACCAGCAGAGAGGACCCCAAATGAATCCAGGTCAGAGAGTTGCTGCCTAATTGCAACAGAGTTGAAATAGAAGGCTCTTGCTCTCTAAAACAGTTGCTCACTAGCACCAAGGTTAAATTGTGTCAGGAGCTATTTTTTTCTAAAAACAGATTTTCTAAAGGGATTAAATTAGCATCTTCAAGAGAACAAGAGGAAACTCACCTTTTCAAACCTGAACTCTTAGAAGAATAAGAGACAGAAATAGTCTAAGTATTTTATAGCCTTATACTATCATTTGTAATTATTATTAATAATGATGGCAGTAGCAGGCACAGTAATTTGTGTCATGAATACTAATACTGATATCATGGAAGTGCTTCAAGGCAATTTTCAGTGAAATAATAAAAAGATTTTTAAAAGTATGTATAATGACATTACAACCTTGAAAAAAACATGTCTGACACAGGCATACTAATTCTAGTTTCACACATTCCCCAGGGTTTGATATGTGTTTATATAGTTATGTATATTAATTGGCTAAATTAAAGAATAAAAGATGTGTGAGTCATTTTATAGCTAGATCATAAGACATGAGGCTTAAAATTAGCTCATTTGGTGTAAATATGTAACAAATATTTAGTTGCTAAGATTCAGATAGGCCTTTTTTTTTACTTGCCCTCAAATCCACCATTCAGATTAATGGGCCAAGTGAGACCCTATCCACATTTCATCTGTAAAGTGAACACCCACATTTTTCTTAACTCTTCAACAGTGACCATAATGGCTGGACTGCTTTGCATCATGCTTCCTTGGGTGGGTACACTCAAACCATGAAGGTCATCCTTGACACCAATTTGAAGTGTACAGATCAACTAGATGAAGAAGGGGTATGTACTGTGTTCTCTTACCTACCACAAATCTTGGCTTAAAAGAAACTGCCCTGGTTGTAAGGAAGCCTTCTTAGCCACCCTTTTCTCTTCCTGGTCCTGTTTCTAACTTTTCATTGGAGTCTTAGTGTGCACATTCTTAGAATAAAGGGAGAGTAACAGGGAAACAGAATAAGGAGTTTGTAAGGAATGGGGTTGTATTGAACCTTTCCAGTCTCTAAATTTCCCGGAGGCCACCTGACAGGCCACTGTAGATAAATGCTAAATTGTTCACCTTCCCTGCGGAACTGAGAAAATTAGATATGGGTGTAACTCTTCATAAAACTAAGTGTATTCTGTTTAAAGAAATATCCTTTATTCAGCAGGAGTAAAAGCTTCTTCCTTTTTTGGAGTTGTATTGAAATGTATGTTCTTTCATGAAATGGTGAGGATAGAGGCTTTTCTAATATCTTCAATACTAAATACTAGAGACTGGCAATACTAAAGACTGGCAGCCTTATAACAGTCTCTGATTTTATAAAATTTTATAAGCCTATGTAAACTTCAAATCTGAAAACCACAGCTCTACTAGATGATACCTATCTCCCAGAATTATTTTCTTGTGCAGTCATTCCAATATTTTTACCCAAAAATACTTACTTGTCCATTGTCCTGGTGGAATCAGCCAACTGAAGAAACAAAGCAAAAAAAAAAAAAAATCCTCAGAATTCACTGACACCCTTGCATCTCAACCCTGCACCCATGCACACACACACACGTTTGAAGTTTATGTCTGAATGCCTGTCTTAAATTTTATGTATTTTGGTAATAGATAACTTTGTTAATAATTTCTCTCAAGTAATTCAACACTGAAGCAATGCAGTAAAATAGCCAAAAGGACAGTTAGTCACTGTCACTGGATTTTCCATGTTCTATTTTCTCTAAAAGAACACCGCACTGCACTTTGCTGCCCGGGAAGGCCATGCCAAAGCTGTTGCCCTTCTTCTGAGCTATGATGCTGACATTGTCCTGAACAAGCAGCAGGCCTCTTTTTTGCATGTTGCAATTCACAATAAGAGAAAGGAAGTGGTTCTTTCAGCCATCAGAAATAAAAGGTATGGTATACTCCTCTCTACTATCATTTTGTGTCCTCCTAGTCATGACCTAGGAAGAAACAGGAAAAAAATAACACATCTCAGTTTTCAATCAATATGCTTTAAATGCCATTACTAACGTAACATTTTTAGTAAACTCCTTGAGGGGCAATAGACATGTTGCTTAATCTCTTATCTGTACTTTCCATTTCTAAATCAAGACACATACAGCTTCAGAGCACTCTTGTGAGACTCATAGTGTTCAGGAATGTGTCATGTTGGACACAAATGTCATTGTTAAGTGAATTGTGCATCTCTCCCTGACTTGGCCCTACACTATCCTGTCAGAAGAAACACTCAAACTGGTTATCACTTTTAGAAACAATTCACTTTATATTAATACTCAATTCTAAGTTTCATCTGGTAGCTTTGTTGGTATGCGGAACGGAAAGGTCACGATTTTTTCATTTTCTCCTTATGATTTTTTGCAGATGGCAAGAATGCTTACAGGTTTTTAGTCATCATTCTCCAAGCAATAAATGTCCAGTCCTGGAAATGGTAGAATACCTCCCTGAATGCATGAAAGTAAGTTTTCAAAACAAAACTCTTTCTTGGTTTATACTTGGCATATAATATAATATGAGAATTTAGTGTTATGATCACAACTAAAGTAATAGTAGTTGTCACTTTTATTTGTTTCTAGTTTTTCATAAGCCATAAGGGAAGTTGACTAATTAACAAACATTTACTAAGGATAGACTTAAAGAATTCTATTTGTTTTAGGTACATAATAGGAAAATGTATTAAAAAGATTTTTTTTAAGATTTATTTTATTTATTCATACAGAACTGGGGTACAGGCCAGAGATGTGGAGGGTGAGAGGATTCACCAGAGACAGAGCAGGGAGCAGAACAGGCAGATCGATGAAGTACACTGCTGAGAGGAGCAGCGGGCGGGTCAGGAGAGGTCTGCCACGCCATGTGGTCACCTCCGGGGCAGGTGGGAATCGAACTCATACGGAAATGGCTTAAGCTTCTTAGTGCTGTGCTTTAACCCGCTGCGCCACCAGGGAGGGCCTAAAAAGAATTTTTACTCAAGCAATCCAAACCTAAGCAGAGACTACCAGTGAAATCAATAAATCATATATATGTATATTTATACATATGCATATGTTTGTATGTTTGTAACTCCTATAATATATGTGTGTGTGTGTGTGTTTTGACATGCATGTTATTTTTCTATTGAGGTATATGACTAACACTGTATATAATTCAGAGGAATAGTTTTATACCTCTTCAGATGTATGTTACCACAGCCCAACCACCAGCAAAGTACATTGTCCTTCACCATAGCCCAATGAACTACTCCCTTGGTTATTGCTTTTTGTGTTAATTGCTAGCAGTTAAAACCAGAATACTTCCCTTAAGGATCCAGACACCTGCCTTCCTGTAAAAACTAGAAGCCTGACCTTTATTGGGCCTGACTTCTCAGAAGACCAGGGTCACTGAGCCTGGTAGCAGCCGCTCCTTGTTTGGCCAGCATGCTCCTGTTTGACACCATCTACCTCTTCCTATTGTTCATTTGGCTCTGATGCCTGCTGTTACTTGCCATGTATTGTCATTCTTGTGCCATTTCCTTCCTTTGGTAGGGAGATATTTCTGTATGCCTCAGTCCAAATAATAAAGATAAATTCAGCTCAAAGAAAGCTAATTTTTTTAACAACAATGGCAAAAAGCTTCCACAATTCCTTCATTCACACTACAGTTGACCCTTGCACAACACAGGTCCACTTGGACATATGAGTAGACAGTACCGATCCACTTATATGAAGATTTATTTGTAAACAGATATTGCAAACTTGCTGTATTGATAAATACAGTGTAGTATTGTCAGTGTTTTTTTTCCTTTTCCTAATGATTTTTTCTCTAGCTCATTTTATTGTAAGACTATAGTGTACACTACTTATAAATATAAAATGTGTGTTAATTGACTCTTTGTGGGTTGGTAGAGTTTTCAGTCAACAGAAAGCAATGAATAGCTAAGTTTTGGCATAAAGTGGTATACAGATTTTATACTGTATGGGTGATTGGCGTCCCTACCTTGTACACCATTCAAGAGCCCAAAGTTCTTGTCTCGTCTCTGTCGGCCTCCGAGTGTGACTCTCTATTGTACATGGAAACATACCCCTTTCCCTGACAGAATACCCATCACATACCAAACATGCATGAACTGCTGAGAACATGAATGTTAACATACACAGCAAGAAGACCTGGGATTGGGTCAGACTGGAATGAAGAAGGAAAGACAAATGACTTCATATGTTTTTTGAAGGAAAAAAATATACTCAAATACAATAGAAGTGAGTGAGACATAGTGATGTGGGGATAGAGAACCAGATGACTCTGGAATTTAGTGCTGGCTCTGCCTCTTGCTGTACAGCTTTAGGTGAATCACTTTGCCTTGCTGATTTTCATTTTCTATATCTCTAAGACAGCTATGCTAATACTGATCTCACAAAGTAGTCTACAAGTATTAAAGTACATATAAAGTGTCCAGTATAATGGTTGGTGCCTGCTGTTTTTATACTGCCCATGAGGTTTTAGCATTACTCTTATTACCACTACCACTTACTGGTTTTGATTTATTCAAAAGCACTAAGTATGTGTGAATGTTTCGTGTACATTCTTTCTCTATGCCTTTCTCTATGGACATTGAAGCCTGTCTACTCTATACATTAGTATTTTAGGTTTATAAGTCCCATCAAAGAGCACATAAATATTAGGGATTGAAAATGACCTCACATTTTCTTACTCAGTCATTCCTGTTGCTGCAGTCTGTTCTAATGAATAACCAGAGGTACAGACAGATTTATAAAATATATGATGATGTTTCCTGAGCATCATTCTTAATATAAGTGTGTGTGTATACATGCACACATCTGTGATGTATGAAATCCTTTCATGTGAAAGTTATAGAAAAGAATTGAAGAAATTACACCCAAATATTATGACTGCTGTAGTGTGTAATTGGTTTACTTTCATTTTTGCTAGTAATTATTTTCTAGTTTGTTTTCTATAATGACTTATTTTAATATTATGAAAAATTTTTAAATAGGGGGACATAAAGGCATTTTAATTTAGCCTCACATTACACATTTTAATAACTTATACAGCCCCTTGCTCTGTTCACCCTCCATCTGGCAGCTCATCTTTTATTGCGCCTATGGTGATTATGGCAAAGCTCTCACACAAAAGCAGCCAGGCCTCTATCTCTGGTTCTGCCTTGCACAGCATTAATAACTAGCCTAGACCATTCTTTTCAAGATACCTATTATGACTCTTACTATCACTGGGCTTTTATCAACAGGGACTTTCTTGGAGTTGTTTAAGTCCTTCTGGTCTTGAAAACAGTCAGGATGAGAGGACCCTCCCATTGTCAATAGGGTCCCTATGTCTGTCCTCTGGGCTGCTGCTCAGCCTCTACCCTGGCATCCTGTAGGTGAGCTTGGTCAGAGTCTGTAGGAACTATGGGGACACACTGATGAGGTCAGCTGAGGCCTTATGTCAGGACTCAGTTCCTGGAGGGCAACTGACAAGGTGTTTTTTTTTTTTTTTAAATTCATTTATTTATGCATACAAGAGCTGGGATGAAGGCTAGGGCTGTGGGAGGTGAGAGGGTTCACCAGAAATGAGTGGGGAGCAGAACAGGCGGATCTGCTGAAATATACTGTGGAAGGGAGCAGTGGGTGAGACAGGAGAAGTCTGCTGTGCCATGTGGATCACCTCAGGGGCCTGGGATCCAACTGGCACTGGAGCGGCTGCAGCTAGTTTACAGTGCAAAACTAGCTGCATCCTAATCCGTTGTGCCATCAGGGAGGGTCTATTCCTTAGCAAATCTTAACAAATGCAATTTCGTTCTCAAGTGTGTTTTTCTAAGTCATTTCATATTTCTGAGGCATGCTATAGTAGTGATGTGTGTATTTTAAACTTTGTTCCTAGAAGACATGGATTGTAGCTTATTTTTGAAGTGCAAGAAGCAAAGAAAGGGAAGAGTACATCTCAGGGATGATTTTAGAAGTGGGATCCAATCCTGTCTTAATTTCTAGACTCCTGCCCTTTATCTTAGCTGGCTTCTCTCTTTTAAAGGTACTTTTAGATTTTTGTATGCTGCCCTCCACAGAAAACAAGTCCTGCCGAGACTACTGTGTAAGTCTATTTCAGTATTATAAACTGAAGTTTCTTTTGCTACAATTCTTTAAAGATTAACAGATGCTGTTACTAGGGTTCTATGATCATCCAAAGTGGCAATCATTGTCCTCATTTTCCATCTTATTGTGTTAGCTATTGGTGAGAGAAGTTTTCCCTTAGATTCTCTGCTTTTAATAACATTGTTTAGGGTTACTTCTAATATTTAATATCTATATCTATATAATATCTATATCTAGTGTTTATATTGCTACTATTTAAATTACTTACATATATTTAAAATATAGTTCTAAAAGATCTAAGTGATATTTTGAGAAGTCATCTTCCATGATTATGAGGCATAAAACAATCAAATAAAAACCTTCTATGATATCTATGTTTTGAATCAAATATGCAATATCTTACTTATCTTTTCTCCAGGTGAAATGGCTCAACTTTATTTGAATAACTTAGTTTTCAACAAAATTAGAGTTTTTTTGTGTGTATTTGATTTGTCAATAATGACTTTTGGGGGCTATACTAGATGGTGATTTTTTTCAAATAATGTCTTCTACAGATCGAATATAATTTTACATATCTTCAGTGTCCATTAGAATTCACCAAAAAAGTAACATCTCCACAGGATGTTACATATGAACCTCTTGCAACCCTCAATGTAAGTGTAATGTTTTCTTCATCTAGTTAGTTTCTACATTGGTTTTGTAATGTTTTAGTATTCATGCCATATTCCATCATGGCAGAAAGAGTCTGCTGGACAGTACTCTTAATTAGGCATTTTCATTCACCACAAATGAATTCATTTCCCTGCATGGAAGCTTTGCACAGATCATTATAACAGCTAACGTGAAATCTAAAGGCCTTACTGAGTACTTGAAGTATGAGGAATGAAGTTGTGCAAATGTTATGCCCATATGACTTGGCTTTTTTGTTCTGTTAAGCAAAATCTTTTTAACTCTATTGGAGTCTTTAGATTTTGCAATTGTTATTATAATTCAGGCTCAATGACTAAGTGACCTAAAAGCAACTATAAGGACAGTTGCACTTAAGAGAATTTTTGTGTATGAATGTGGCTTTAAAAAAAATAATTTAAATTCCTGTTTAAGTTTATTGTCTCCATTACCAGAGTAAGAGTAGGAGAAAATAAAATCTTTGTAGCTTCTTAAAAGAAATAGACTCTCTATAAAATTAATATAATTAATAGTAGTTCATTTGAATGACTATCCGAATTCATGCATAACTGTGAGCATGATTGATTAATGCTTTAACAGATAGCAATCCTACCCTTAGTTATGAGACAGTAGAGTGCGGTCCTTCTAGAAGGGAGCTGGCTGGCAGAGTAAAATACTGTGCAGAGAAGTCTGAACATCTAGTTGGTCTTACATTCTAGTAAGACAGAAAGAAGTGGGTTACTTGGACATTTCCCCCAAAAGTTAGGACATTAGATGTATGTCTACTCTTTTCTTTCCCTTCTTAGAGGGAAGATAGGAGTTAGTTTTCTCTTGAACTCACTGCTCTATTCTGGGGTAGGAACGTGGTGATGAAATATCATGAATTTTCCTGATGTGTTTGATGGGGTTCTTAACTGCAGGTTGACTTTGTTCTTTTCTGGATTTCTCACAAATAAATTATTAAGGTGTCTGAATTATTAAGTTGATGTCCTATCTTTTTTTCTCTGGGGAGAGAAGGATTTGTGGCTTCCTATTCCACCACATTATCACCCCTCTGTGAATCCCTTAAATAATTAATTTTAAAATAGATACTGGTAGCTCACAATAATTCATGGTGCTTATTAGTATTGATAGACTAATTGAACTACTATTATGTGAACTCTACACTTTCAAATCCTAGAAAATAAGCCTTAGTTTCTTCAAGGAAAGAAATAAAGAAGCTCTTTTCTATTATTGATGTTCTTTCCTTTCATAAAACATGAAAAATGTATACTGTCTCAATTAGTGAAAACAGGGACAAATTGAATAAAATGCTTGCACCTGTAGTTTATGATTTTATATATATATATATATATATATATATATATATATTCTTAATATAATTTTTGAGTTCTCAAATTTTCTTAAGTATTACTTGTATAATGTCAAAACTGATTTATAAACTCATCAGGGAAACTTAGTTTATACTCAATAGTTTAATAACATAATTACTTGTTTACTGATCTTTATTTCTTAGGCGATGGTACATCATAACCGCATAGAGCTTCTCAATCATCCTGTGTGTAAAGAATATTTACTTATGAAATGGTGGGTATTAAGTCATATTTCTTTTTAATGATATCCCCACTGATTTATTGAAAGACTTTAAATGTTAATTTTTTGCATTTAATATATTTTTATGTTTTAGATTCTAATATTTTAATGTTCTACACTTTGAAAAGGAATGTCAAAGGCTTATTTTTGTATCAAAAATTGCTGATGCTATTTATCTTTAGCATTAGTAAAATACCATGGGGGAGTGTCACTGAATCATATATGAAGGAACATTCTTTGGCTTTGCAATACAGTGCACAGTGATGAGAGTTGTCTTGGGAAAAAGTACCCACTTGGGGTCAGAAGACAAGAACTAAAGTTTATTCTCTTCCATTAATTGGTGAGAGATTTTAAGTAAGTCTGACTCCCATGGAAATTGACATTCCTTTTCTTAAAATGGAATAGGTAAATTTGAAGGTTATCTTTGTTTGAGGCTCTATGAATTCACTAGAAAAAAAAATTTGTAAGAGATTATACTTTCTTTTCCTCCAGGTATGATAATTGTTTGGGTTGAAATGACTCAGTTATGTTTTGATTTCTTCTTATAGGTTGGCTTATGGGTTTAGAGCCCATATTATGAACCTAGGATTTTACTGTCTTGGCCTTTTGCCTATGACCTTTCTTGTTATCAGTATAACTCCAGGTATGGCTTTCAACTCCACCGGAGTCATCAATGAAACAAGTGATCATTCAGAAATTTTAGACACAAAGGTATTTTCAGTTGGTTTATATATTTCAACTTATTAAAATTAAGGATGACAAAAGGTGTGATTTTTTTTTCCCTTAGGAATACTAATAATAATAACCTCATAATAAGTCTAAAATATCAGGACTTTTGATTACTATAAATAGCCTAAAGAGTTCATTTATGGTAGCAATTTCTTTTCAGACCTTTTGTGGATTGAGAAGGACTATAAATAAAGTACCTCATAAATGAGTCTGTAACTAAGTTAAAAGGAACTGAGATGGTAGCTTGCTTGCTGAAGAATAAAACTTTAAAATAGTTGTACAAGAAAACAGATTTGTAAGGTTAAGGATTGTGGAGAGAAGCAGATGATACTTAGTGGGGGCAGGGGAGTGATCAAAAAGCTAAGCACTGAAATGAGTATGTGTCATTATTATATTGGTAACAGTAATTTTTGGTTTAAAGCAAATAATAGAAAATATATAAAAATGAAGCAAAACAAAAAATAGAAATTATGAAGCTAAAATGTTTTAATTTATAATCCTCATAAGTACTTGTCTTACATTTTTTGTGTTTCAGAATTCATATTCTATAAAGGTGTGTATGATGTTTGTTTTCCTTTCAAGCATATTTGGATATTGCAAAGAAGTGGTACAAATTTTTCAACAGGTACACATGCATTTTATATCTCTAAGGTCATAGTTTTTTAACAATCAAATATAAATTAATTGCTAAACAATCACTAAAATAATATATACCAAAATACAATCATATACCTCGAATAATACATAAATTGGGAATATCAAACCTAACATTTTCAAAATTTGGAAAGCAAGTGATACCATATAAGTTCTTTGAACTGGATAGTGTTAATTTGGCGTGTCTGAAGTAAAGATAGTCCAGATTGTTAGCTATATCAGTTATCATGGCTGGAAATGAACTCAGGAATAAATTTTCTGGCTTTTTTTTCTTATATTAGTTTAATATTTTAATGTGACAGATTTTTTTCATTAGATCATTTTGAATGTAAATGTATAAAGGATTATAAAGGATTCACTTGGTCTAAGACTCCATTTCAAATGGGGCTGTCCTTGAGTTCCTTTTCTAAAAGAAATATTTTGCTTTATTAGATAAAATTTCAAACTTAATAAAATTGGTGAACTTTCCATCGCATAATTTTTACTTTATACTCTACTTTCTAAAGTGGATGAACCAAGTTCAGGATGTAAAATTATCTGCAGGCCCTTGCTTTGGTTATTAAATGGCATCAGTTTTTCTTAGTGTGGAGGTGTAAATTCTTTTATTATTGATTTTGGGGTGTATATTTTGTGCATGTCATTTTTTTATACATCATGTATCTTTTATAAAGTTCATTTTATATGAAAATATATTTTATGACATAAGCACATAGATATTTGCATTAAAGGATGCTGATAATAATACTTTGTTTTTGCTTGATAGTATATGATCTAAATATATACTATCAACAAATTATTATAATTCTGAAGGTTTGACTGTATTATTCCATCATACCTTAAATAATTTAGAGGACATCATTTAATCTCTATTATCATTATTTTCAGTTTCTTAAGAATTATAGTTATTTCAGAAGTTGAACTATGAAGTTAAGTGATATCTCTATAAAATTATTTCCCCCCATTAGTTTATTGGTATTTAAGTAAGAATATTTATAGGAAATTTGATGTCTAAGCATAAATTCCTTAGGAATATTAAATGACACCAAACATTTTGGTAATGAAATCTTAGCATAGGTCTCAAAACTCCTTAAAAGCAACTTTAGTTCATTTGTATCTTGGAAGATGCACATCGTATGTCCTTATATAGGCAGAAAGGGAGTAAATCTGGCCCTTAAACAGCGTGGGATTGAATTGTATGAATGGACTTATAAATGGATTTTCTTGCAAACATGAATTTATGGAATCTATAAATACAGTATAATATTATAAATATATTTCTCTTACTATTTTCTTTTCTCTAGCTTACTTTACTAGAAAAAAAGCAGCAAATAATACATTAAACATATGAAATCTGTATTGACTATTAATGGTAAGGCTTCCAGTCAACAGAAGGTCATTTATAGTTAAGCTTTAGAAGAGTGAAGAGTTATGGAACAATTTGTGTTGGTCTGTGTCAACTTGCAGCCCCTTAGTTTCCTTAATATGGTGTGTTCTCCATGGGGAAAGCCCAGAAGCCTAGAAAGTTTCCTTAGGCATCAGACTCCCAGATGCCAGATCATCTCCTAAGCCCATCCAAATGTAGGGTTCTGAGTTCAGTTCAGACAGGCACTGGTTGGACCTAAACTTCTTTCCCGCTACAATGCCAGAAAGCTGCTGTTACCAACTACATATCTTTACCTACCTATAGGACGCCAAGTCTCCATTGCTAAAGCAGTCATTCTCATTCTTTCCAACCCCAGAAGGGCAATTACTTCTTGGATATTAACAATGCAGTCGAATGGATTATCTATACAACAAGCATCGTTTTTGTGGCACCTTTGTTCATTGGTTTACCAGCTTACATGCAGTGGCAGTGTGGAGCAATTTCGATATTCTTCTATTGGATGAACTTCTTATTGTATCTTCAGAGGTAAACCCAGTTTAAGTGATTTCTACATCTGTTTGGAATTTTTAATATCAAATAAAATGTTATAAAAACTATAAAGTTATAATTAGCTTTTACTTGTCCACTGTTTTGGATTATGGAGCAGCATTTTGTGTCCTATAAAGGAAGAGTGAAAGGAGGCTTGGAGTTCATACCTCTCAACCTTGGCACTTTTTAAATTTTGGACTAGATAATTATTCATTTCGGGGACTAGCCTATAACATTTTAGAAGCATCCCTGACCTCTGCCAGTCAGATACCAACAGCATCTTCCTCATCGGCTGTAACAAGAAAAAATGTCTCCAGATATTTCCAAGTATCTGCTGGGTGTCAAAATCACACCAGCTTGAAAACCACTGTTCTAGACAAATGTATGGAGAAATAAATGGTATTATTAGTGATATTATTTAGTGTGCATTTAGTTTAAATTAAAACAATCAAAAAGAAGTGTAGGAAATCAGCAGTATTAAGAGAAAAAGTAAGCCCAAAGAATCAAATTTGAGAGGGGATGAAAAGACAGAGCTCCCTTTGCTCTTATAGTTACTATATTGAGATAAATATTTGGCTTTGCATAATCTTTAGCAAAAGAAGCAATGCTATCAATCATGGTATATAAAATAAGCTGCAGCATTTATGTGCTCAAGATCTCAGCAGTAAGATAAGTTGTAGGCATTTTACCAAAGTCTTACTAGCCCCAGATAGTATGCTCTTTCTGCCTTATGTGTCATGAGCTCAGTGCTGTGGGATTGAGCCTGGTTCCTTGGAAAAGACTCGGTGTGGGAGAAGAGCAGTGTCTGGCCGACAGTAGCCTTCAAAACAGGTCCCAGCCCTGCTGAGACCATGATCAGTGATGCTAGCTAGTTACTGGACAACAATGGAAGTTAGCTCAGAGACCTCTGGAGTCCCTTTCTGCTTTTAAAGCTTGTGAATTTTGCTTTTAACCAGTTGTCTTTGCCCAAGAAAATGTACAAGCTAGCTGACACACACAATAGTTCCCCCAAATATTCCACAATATGAATTGCTAGAAGAGAAAATGGAAACCTCAGGAGGCTTGAGGATGGCAATTGTAAATCATATGCATGTGCCCGGTAGTAGGTGTCTCGGGACATGAGCTCGGTTAACCAACCCCCAATGGGTGCACAGCACAACTCCTCTCTTTAATCCCTTCATTACACACGTGATAGCATGATCTTTGATAATGGAAGCTATAATTTTTCTCTCACTTTGGTTGAAGTAATGTGCAGTGGTCAAGTGAGAAAACAATAATAAAGAAAAAGAAAAGAAAATAGAAGCTCAATGAACAGCTTGAAATGAAACTTGACTGTTCCTGAATTCTCATGTCTCCTTTTGGAAAGTAGCTGGAGTCTGTGGCCTCATCTGTGATATCAAGTACATTTTGTGTCACAAGTACTGACATTGAATGAAATGTAATTTGCTCAGAAAGAAGTATAAACATTTTAATTTCTAAAATTTCCCCAGATTTGAAAATTGTGGCATTTTCATTGTTATGTTGGAGGTCATTATAAAAACTATGTTGAGGTCTACTATCGTGTTCGTATTCCTTTTTTTGGCCTATGGACTCAGCTTCTATGTGCTCCTGAATTTACAGGTGAGTCACTTGCATGGGTGATTGATTTTGTTGCTTTGAATACTGGAAATACATATTTACTTTTAAATCTAAATGGCCTAAAATTAATAATAATAGAACAGTATGTGATTATTTTTATCTGATAATTATAGCATTCATGTGACTTTCATTGTAGGAAAAGTATAATCTTACTAAATGATTTTTCCTCTGGTCAGAAGGTCCATGTATAATGCATGATGATTTGTTACGCATGCAGAACAAATCTCGGTGATGACTTCACCACTAGTTTATTAGTAGTTCTCATGGCTGTATTTTCATAGCTCGGTCCATGACTTCAAAAAATTTTAGATATGATTTTAACTATTTAACTTTCTAGGAAACAGGTTTTCATCACAATATTTCTTATTTCATTTTTACTTTACTCTCTTTTTTATCAGGATGCTTTCAGTTCTCCATTGCTTTCTATAGTGCAGACCTTCAGCATGATGCTAGGAGATACCAATTATCGTGATGCCTTCCTCGAGCCATTTTTGAAAAATGAATTGGTATATCCAGTCCTGTCCTTTGTACAACTTATTACCTTCACAATGTTTGTCCCAGTTGTCCTCATGAATTTACTTGTAAGTAGTTTATTCTTATATTTTCTATTTGATGATCACTTGGGATACTTAATAATAATTAATCTCCATTATATAAAAGTCACTACTATAAACATTCACTTTCATTATGTGCCTGGGGTATGTCAGGCACAGTGTAAAATGCAGGGGATGCAAATATACATTCCCTTAGTAAATCTGTTAGGTTCCAGTAACCATGGATCCTGGCTCTAGTAAACAGAGGTGAACAAAACAGACTGACACCCAGTCCTTAAATGGTTAGAAAGTTAAGCAGTAAACAAATAAATATGTTAGATAATTCCATGGGGGCAGCAACTTCTATGAAGGACCACAAAGCAGAACAAGGAAGTAAAGATGTGTGTGTTGCATTAGCTTAGGCTAGTTATCGAAGGATAGACCTTTGCTAGGGTGAGGTTAGACCTGCATAAGGTGAGGGATAAAGACCTCAGCTCTGCCCTCGAATTCTTATTGACAAGATGTTCGAGTGGGATGAGCTTGTTATACAGTAGGCATCTTTGCAACTGTCAACTCTAAGCCAGTCGAAGATTGGATGTGAACCGCAGCAGATATGAATGTGACCTTCCACAGAGAGCCTCCGATAGCCATGAGCATTTGGCTATGTGGACAGAAGCATATCCTGACTCCAGTGGTTAACATTCTAGTATGTGCCTTTTCCTTACTCATTTATTTGTTCATGCACACATGAACAAATAAATGAGTAAGGAAAGGCACAGCAGGACCCTAGTCTGAATGAAGTGTCCCTTTCTGGTGTTACCATACCTTGAGGACACAAATCAGAGAAAGATAATAAAGACTGTTTTAAGGGTAAACTAAGTTAATATGCACTTAAGACACATGATAAATATTAAATAAATGCAAACTGACTAAATGATTGACTCACTCAGAGATTTTTAGAGCTCAGACAAGTATCTACATGTGTGAAATAGTAGGTAAGAGACAGTTGATTTTGACGGAGGATGCTATAAATGGGAGAGAGTACCCATCAAAATATTTGCAAATTAAAAAGCTAAAGACATTATCCTGATAGCTAAAATCTACTTGCTGACTCTATATGATTCTCAGTACTAGTTTATAAATCAAGAATGTTGATTTTTTTCATCATATATTTTGGATATCTAGTAAGTGCTCTGTGCTGGTCTAAGCCCTGGGCATAGAGAGAGAGCCCTTTCTTCATAGAGTTGGTCTGACCTTGAGACCCTGGAGAGTAAGGGCCAGCCTTTCCTATGGCTGCAGCAAGCAGCAGGCTGCCTCAGCCCAGGCCTGTACTAATATTCTAACAAATAATGACAGAGTGAGTGAATGTAACTTGATTCAACCTGGATTGAGTAGTACCGAACTGATAGCTTCTCCTCCTCACCTAATTCTACCTCCCCATGGATTTCTAGATGAAATACTTTTATCCTAACCTTACCCACCCCCTTATCGTACCTTCCCTGCAAACATGTAAGCTGTGAATTTCTTCATCCCCTCCATTTAATGTTTTGACTTTTCCATGTTGTCCAGCTACTCTCATTTGTATCATGTACTAAACACCTGGGGTTAGCAACCATACTGCTTGGCTCCACCAGTTTCATGTGATAGCACAGCAGCCCTGTCCTCCCAAAGGATAAATTTTTATTATAAATTTAGGTGAATTTCAGATTAATTTGAATGTCTTCAGTTTTCACAATTAATATGTAAGACCTCTCAGTGGTACTATCTTTGTGACAAAAGCTTTGCACTGTTCTGTGAGGTGGGCAAGCAGATTGTTTTGAGGTCACTACTAAATAAACTGTGTGCCTGCTCCTCCCACTGTGGGAGGAAAGCACCCCTCCATCCACCTCGTCCATTTTGAGATGAGCCATTGAACTCATTCAGTGTTTCAATGATATGTTGGAACTCAGATTGGTTTGGCAGTTGGTGACATCGCTGAGGTCCAGAAACATGCATCACTGAAGAGGATTGCTATGCAGGTCAGTATTATATTTATTTAAAACTTGTTGAAATTGGCATGGTAATTATATACTCAGAAGAATGGCTGATTTCTGAGAATGTTGTACGAAGAACTGTACTATGCATTGTGTGTATGCTCTCTGTGCTCACTGCTGTAACAGAATTTAAAAAAAAAAAGTCCTAGAACAATCTCAGTGGAAAAATTGAGAAACGGACTCATTTTATGTCAACTTATGGCAACCAGGTAGGTAACAGCTGGACAGAGCTCTTAGCATGCTGAGCACAAAGTGACAAGGTCGCCACAGTGTTGTTAGCTTTTGTTCCTTTGTAACATCCCTTTCACTTTTCTAGAAATTGATGTTAAATTTGAAAAACAAAAGGCCTTCTGAATTGCTCCTTGGCTATGGAGGCTTGTTTATTCTTGGTAAACAATTTGAAACAAATTCTATGTTCTTGTTTACACTGTCTTTATTTTATTTTATTTTTGAAGATTTATTTATTTGTGCATATAAGAACTGGGATATAGCCCAAAGGTGGGGGAGAGGGTAAGAGGATTCACCAGAGACAGAGAGGGAAATAGAACAGGCAGGCCTACTGAAATACACTGCTGAGGGGAGTCGCAGGAGATGTCTGCCATGCCATGTGGGTCAGCTCCCTGGCAGGGATCAAAAACATGTTCCAGTGGCTGCAGATAGCTTCATATTGCTGAGACTTTTCCCTTGCACTACCAGGGAGGCCCTACATTGTCTTCAAATTTCAATTTTTGAATAGGGATATTTCTTGCTTCAGGATTATGTGGTGATCAGTAGAACATGCATGTTCAGAAACTTAGGTCAGTTCAAGACAAAGAAAAATTTATGTTAAGTTGTAACTCTCCTTCCTCTTGCCTTGACTGTTCTTTGCCACATGCTTTCTTCTGTCTTCATTCATTTTTCTTCTTCTCCATTCATTCAGCTATACACTAGAATATATTTAAAGAACCTTCCACTGCCTGCTAGATGCAAAGGACAGTACCAGTCCCAGAGAAATTGAAGGGTTATTATCTTTGATTTTCATAAGTAAAATATTTTAGGGAGCATAAAATATCAATAATCAACTTAAAATTATTCTCAAATTCTATGCTTTGTGACTATACTATGTATTACACAGGTAGCTCGGAACATTACCGAATAAAATAAATGAATTAAATGGCTAAAATATCAGGTAAAAAAATAAGTGAAAAACTATTTGAGGAAATGCTAAGTGGAAGGGTTGGATATGAGCTGCACATTGAGAGGGGATTTAAAGGGCAGTAAGGCTGCCCCAGAATGGAAGAATACAGCCTTGAGGAGCAAAAGAATGAAACCAGGGCCCTCCCTGGTGCTACAAGGGGTTAAAGCATAGCATTACGAAGCTAGCATGAGCTGCTTTGGCTTGAGTTCAAACCCCAGCCAGGGAACTGACTCTCATGGCACAGCAGGCCACTCCGGATGTGCCTGCTGCTCTCCTCAGCAGTGTACTTTGAAAAACTGCCTATTCTGCTCCCCACTCTCTCTGGTGAATCCTCTCACTGTCCTGAACCTCTGGCCTGTACCCCAGTTCTGTGTGCATAAATAAATAAATTTTAAAAGAAAAAAAATAGAATGAAGGGGAAATTGTTAAAAAGGTATGACAGGACCCCTTGCCTAGAAAGAGTCTCGCTGGAAGGTATGAAGGCTAATGCAGGTGCAGAAGAGTGAATGCAGAAAGACCTTAGCTTTGAAAGGAAATGTGAGAAATGGGAAAGTGCTTCAAGTTATTTGGTTAGTGAATGGGAAGTTCTTACCAGTCCTAAAGAATGGGAACAAAATGAATGTGGTGTTTAAGACTATCGGTTATTTCCTTGGGGGAGGAAGACTGATGATGGAGAAAGACTGGAGAAAGAAAGCTCTAGTGGATTGCCAGAAGCACGATGAAGTGCAGGACTCCAGGTAGGAGGGTGAGGGTGGAGAAGGGTCGCAGCAACGTCTTAGGGAGTGTGTCAGTGGTTCTTCGCCACTGGTTAATTCTTAAAACACCAGGGGAAACAAAAGAAATAATATAAACACTATCTGTATCTGGGGAAACCTGTTACACTACACTGTCAGCACAGTTGATTTGTAAAGCATGAACTCTTAGGTTTATTCTGCTTCCTGAAACAAAGCAGCACAAAGGCCTATAAAGGAAAGAGGCAAAGTAAGTAATTGTGTTTGCATCCTTGTTTTGTAACAAGGATATCATGGCTAGAAAACCCAAGAAACCATTCTCCTATTGCCCTGAGTTGTTGTTCAAGCAACTCTCTACCTCCCTTATGATGCTGTAATCTATGATGACACTCTGCATCAGATTTACAGCCCAAGTCTGAGCTCACCACAGAAGCAGGAGCATACGGGACAGGCAGCTGTGCACCCTCCAGGCACCTTGGGTCTGCTGACAAAATCATCTCAGACCAAGGGAGGACAGCGAGTCCCTGGTAATCATCAGGGTCCTGAGGACAGGCATTGTGCTTTGAGGGTCTTGGAGGTGTTTGACGTCATATCCCACTTTCCAGTACAGGCAAGCAGTTATATGTATTACATGAACATTTATATACGTGCTCCAAATCATGAGAGGAAACTCATGAGGTACATCTTGTCTACGTGGAAAAGTCACCTGGTAGAGGAAGTGAAGAAGCTTTCTTAGCTCAGGGAAGCCACGACTCAGTTGGTTCCTATAGACCTCCTAAGTTTGGACTGGAGGCCTGGCTTGCCATATTTGAGAGAGGAAACCTGCCAGCTACTCTGCAGTGAATGAATGAGGTAAAGATATACCATGTGCCTTATTTGCTGGCAAGCACTGTTTGAATAGTTTTTCAATCAAGTATAAGTGAATGGTAACATGATCTCTGAAAAATATATATGGCAAGGGGAAAGGAATCTGGCCTAGAGACCTAAGGGAAAAAGGAACCCTAAATATTATTTATTATAAAACTCAAAGCAAACAACTAGTTGGTGCCATTAATAAAATGCAGGAAAACATAGTTTTTCTTGAAACTGAAACTAACATACAAAGTGACAGAGTGCCATAAAAATAGCCAAAAAGCTAGAGTGTGTTTGTTATAAGGCAAAGAGGCTATGATTTTGCAAGGTGACACAGGGAAGTTCTTTGCATTTCACCATGTATTTTAGGCATCTGGTCTTAGACTAGAAATCCGGATCTCATTTATCTAGTAATTACAATAAATGTAGATAAACAACAGGTATGAAGTTAAAAAAAAAAGTATCAAAGATAAGTATGGCAAGTGGAACCAAAAAGGAAGCTGATACCCTGAGTTAAACTAAATCTAAACTCAAAGTAAAAATGTTAAATGAGAAAAAAAATTGCATCTCTGAAAACAAATTATACTTAAGATAGCTTGTGGGTAAACCATTTTACACCTGAGTACACAGCATGAACAGTTGCTAAAACACCTTGAGACGTGTTAGCTGCGGCTCTCACAGCTTCCCCCGGAGTCCTCTGGCCTTTTCCCTTGTGGGCCATCGCTCCTGCTGCCCTCACTTCCCAGAGGTGCCCATTTGTAGTGTTACCAACCCAAGTGGATGGACTGTCTATTCTTCCACATAAACTGGGGTACAGGCCTCATTCTGTTCCAGGCAGAGTAAGCACTCCACATGCAAACTAATGCTTCCTATCAATAAATCCAAAATGCACTGTAGGTGGAACTTCATACCAGCTTAGAAAAGAAGCTGCCACTCTGGTTTCTCCGCAAAGTGGATCAGAAATGCATCACTGTCTACCCCAACCGGTCCAGATACTCAGGAGGATTACTTGTAAGTACATGTAGCAAATACCAACACAAATAAGTAGATAATGCTTGGCTTTCATTCACTGTATTATTTGTGAGGGTGCTTTTTTATAGTACATCTGCTCTGCCTGTTCTTAACATACATATTTTACATCCGTTTTGTTTGTTTGTTTGTTTGTTTTTTATCAACACTTGCTTTCTTTTCTCAGGTATAGTCATGTAGAATTTCCACCACCAATCTACCTGTGCGCCATAGCCATAGTCCTCTGGGCTCTTCCCATCCTCAATTTAATCCCTCTCCCTCCCCTCCACCTGCAGGAAGTCTTTGATTTATAGTTGTCTGCTTACTTTTGTTGTGCTGTGTTTTTCATTTTTATTTTTAGTTTGTTTCTTTACAAAAAAGTACGTGATTAATTCTCAACGTACAAGTGATGGGCAGTGAGGAGGGACACATCTGTCTCCTCAGCCAAGTTGCGTATATGTGGCATCTGTGTAAAACAGGCACCACATCCCTGTGATACCTGCAGAGCACACAGGTTCTTGTATTCACAGATACAAATCAACATACGTGAGAGTGTGCATTATAGAACACATGCCAAGTATCAAAGCTATACGACTCCATTGCATTACAGTGGTAAAGGGACTATGCTGAGTGTCAGCCTGGCCTCTTCTTCCCTGTTACCCCTCAAAAGTACCTCCAACTCCGCATGTTCAAAACACACTCAGGCAAAACAAAGCCATGTCTTCTCAGCTCAGATGTTCACCTTCTCCTGTCATCAACTGCAGAGAGACAGTGAACAAGTCGTTCTTCTCCAGAGTTTCTCATTTCACCACCAGTCGTTTTCTGGGCAAGCTGGCATCACGGCAGCCCTCCTTCTCTCTCTCCCGTCACAAGCCAGCCCCATAATCTGTCACCCCACTGGCTTCCTGGGTGACCTGAGCAGTGATCCTCTTCTCTTGCCTGGAATTGTCTCATCTGTGGTCTTTTCTCCCACCCACAAATGGTTTAAAAGACCGAATAACAAAATACTGAAATGCCACTTCAGAAATATTGCCATGTGAAATTCAGTACTGCTGGATTAATGGTAGAGAGCTGTTTTGGAGAATTAAAAACTAATCCTGTGTGAAAGATTACCATTTACGGTGGGCATTTTTCATTAGGAAATAGAAAGTGATTCAGTTAATCTTTTTCTTCATCAATCCCTCTCATTAGTTTACTGTATTATTGTCGCATCTTGTTTGTCCTCTACTATATTATGACTTTATTTTATGGTTGTTTTCACATCTACTTTTCTCACAGACTGTGAGTTCTGAGGGCCAGGGTGCATCTTAGAATATCTGTGCTTGTAGGCCTGGCTCAACAGCTGAATCCTGGCACATGTTCAAGAATCAGTTCCTAAATTGGGTTCTAGTTAAGTGACTACTAATCTTTTATTCCATAGTGTATATTCCGTTATTTATTTTCCACCTGCGAAGAAAGCCAAGAAATACCAAGCGTTGATACATCTTTAGAAACAGAAATATTGAAACAGAAATACCGGTATGTATTTTTGCACTTCTCTGTATTTAGCAAACTTGAAACTCTTCAGTAATGGGGGCTCACCCTGGTGGTGCAGTGGGTTACAGTGCAGCACTGTGGAGCTATAGACAACTACTGAGGCCCAAGTTGGATCCCTGCCATGGAGCTGACCCACATGGCGCGGCAGACCTCTCCTGTCCCACCTGCTGCACCCTTCAGCAGTATATTTCCATCGGTCTGCCTGTTATGCTTCCTATTTTGTCTCTGGTGAATCCTCTTACCCCCCAAACCTCTGGCCTATACCCCAGTTCTTGTATGCATAAATAAATAAATCTGAAAAAAAAAAAACAACCTCTTCAATAAGGTTACCGCATTGTGTAAAGCGGTACTATATGTTAGTGTTCATATATTCATATAAGTCATACTTTAACTGGTTAATGGTGCCATTGTAATGAAAATCACAAGAATTTATTATTTTTATTTATTTTTAAAGATTGCTTTATTTATTTATGCATACAGAACTGGGGTACAGGCCAATGTTGTTGGGGGTGAGAGGATTCACCAGAGACAGAGCAGGGAGCAGAACAGGCAGATTGACTGAAATACACTGCTGAGAGGAGCAGCGGGTGAGACAGGAGAAGTTTGCTGTGCCATGTGGATCATCTCCCTAGCAGGGGATCATATCGAACTTGTGCTGCAGTGGCTTGGATAGCTTCATAGTAGCATACTTTAACCCCTTGTGCCACCAGGGAGGCCCAAGATACTTTTAGACCCAACATTTTATTTGCTGCTATTCATCATTCAGTTGGCCACTCAGTATTTTGAACTGTGTTCATAACAAATCACTGAATTCATATATTAGACCTGTAAAGGTTTTGGAGGACCTTTGGAGAAGCTATATTACATGCAGTTATTAAACATAAGGGCTTTTGGATACATTGGTCAGAGTTCATAGCCCCACTCAACTATTATTAACTGAACTGTTACTAACTGTACCGTATTGCTACCTGTAACCCTGGAAAGCTGCTCAAACATTCTGTGTAACAGTGTTTTAATCTTAAAAATAGGAACTAAGAACAAAAAACTAACCCTGAACAATGTCACCTTAGGAAAATTACTTAAATTTTAAAAATTCCTTAGTAGGATTATAACTAGAATGAGGCTATGACCTCATTTGATATGGAACACTTAGAACCTGGGGGTGGGAGTTGCATGTAAAAGGATAGTTAGAAATAAACTGATGAAACATATATCCTTTTAGGCTGAAGGATCTCACTTCTCTGCTGGAAAAACAGCACGAGCTGATTAAACTCATCATTCAGAAGATGGAAATTGTCTCAGAGACAGGGGATGATGAAGATAACCATAGTTCTTTCCAAGACAGGTTTAAAAAAGAACAGTTGGAGCAAAGGAATAGTAAGTGGTGTTCTGTGTTGAAAGCAGTCAAGGCAAATTCGCAAGTCCCGTAGCACGAGTCATCCCCGCCTGCAGTGGGGTTTCTGTGTGTGATTGCAGGCCTTGCTGGGTCTAAGCTCCAGACTGGAAAGAGTGGGAAAGAAAGCAGAAATCTGATTCTGATTTTATTGCATGTGTGAAAACGGTCCCTACATTCTCTATAAAGGTAAACTATCCTTTCCTCCACATTTTTTTTTTTTGCTACTACTCCAACTGGGAAACCTTGCTGATATGTTCGAGTTAGAATTTGACCTCTTGTTATTAGAAACTAAATTGCTAGAACACACATTTTTAATGATGATCAGGAATAATAAATGGAACAGTTAAGCTAGAATACAAATGTCAATGCTGAATTGCTTAAAATAGTATATAATGTGATGCATTAGACAATGAGGAATTACATTAGTTTCTATCATTTGGGAGACTTTTTGCCCTGAAAATGCTGTGGTGGAACCCTATATCCTGTGTTCTAACAATAAATAATTTCCCCACCTTCTTGCTGTTCCGATAGAACTGGTGTCACTTGTGTTGAGAATCAAATTAATAGATGTTATGATGGTCATGAATTTTATTGGAGATGGCATGCTATTTCTGTAATTTTTGTTTGCCAGTAACTACATAAACTACATAAACTATATATATATATAAACTATATATATATAAATATATATATTTATATATATATATATAAATATATATATATATATATATATATATATATAAATGTAACTACGTAAGTATAAAACCTGTGTTGTCACTTCAATAATTATTGTGTGTATCTTTTATTTTATTTTTAATTTTTTGAGACCTTCA